GCGGGCCTCCCACTCCCACTCAGTCTCCTCTGGTTTATCAAACTCGTATCCCAGCATCCTGTGGGGCCAGAGCTGTGCTGCAGAGTCTGCACTCCAGCATGCTGTACTGCAATCAAAAACACCTGGCCTCAGGGCTTGGAATGGTCACAACATTACAGCATATAAACGAGCCAACTACTCCATATAGAGGCCCCATAATTGTTGGACTGGAGAGGATTTCTGCTTTTTTTTTTACTGCAGGCTTTTACTATTGTTGTAAGACATAGGACCCAGGGCCAAACGTAACCATCCAATACAGACTTTATGAACACAATTATGCTAACAAATAGGAATTATCCAGAAAGCTGCAGCATACTCAGCTGACTCACTGGAGCTCGGAGGCTGTGGGAAATAAGATGAACTGTCCTTCAGCTTTCTGGGATTTCCAGCATTTACACATTCATGTCTCACACCTCCAGCAAAGAGGGATTTAGAATCAACACTTTACGTTAAAGTTCGTTTTAGAGGTTCTGTTTCAAGACTCTCACTGTAAAAATAAAATATATATATAAGATTTGGCAGGAATCCAAGAGGCTGAATTTACTCTCCTGGTGTTTGTTAGTTGAGATTGTTCTTAAATCAAGGGGCATGATTTCACTCGAGCAATAATGAAAAACAATATGATGTTGTTTTGGTCCACCCTTGTTTCTGGACAGCTTTGGATTGATGTCACAAACAACTCTGGCCAAGAAATTATACCTTAACACACAAGTACGCTGCTTGATTGCCACAACCAGCTCCAGCCAGAGTCTTATAATCCATAAACCAATCTTCATGAGTATAAAACACTGAGATAACAACACTGTGTTGTGGATCTATAAAGATAGATAAGACTGATAAGACGTTTGTGACACAGTTTTACTCTGAGAGGGATCAGGTTTCACTTGATTCGAGAAGAGGGGCGTGAACAGATTAAATGTGCAGTTAAAAGCTGGGGAGGGGAAAAAAAAGTTGGACGAAAGCACAATGTTGTTGTAACATTAATGTGGATACAAGAATAAGAATTTTCCTCCTCATTATGGGCAAGCTGCTGGGCAGGGTCTCTGGTTTCTCCCCCCTGCCGTGCCCTGGCACCCCTACAGCATCCCCACAGAGACGGCTTCCTTGCCGTGATGAGCTTTTGACAGGCCCCAAAACAGGCCGCTTATAGCTGTGCCAGGCCAGACATGGAGCGGCTGGGACGCTGGCAGCTTCTTGGCCCACATCACACATCACGGGCCTCAACCTATTTTATCCCCAGTTTCCCTCCTCTTCTCTCTTTCTCTCTGTTTCTCTTACCCTTTCTTTTCGACTGCCTCAGGATTGTTATGCAAAACTTTCCAAGCAGAGATGCGGGAGTTCCACAAATATATCCAGATCATATGTGCATACACTCTCCCACCACAGCGAGAGACGAGGGTCCAAACTGGCTCAGCAGCCAGGTGCAAGGCCACAGCCTCACCTGGGACATGAACCGCACCTTTGGCTCACTGAGACTCGCTATCTGGAATCAAACAGTAATTTAAGCTCTTTATCGTAAATATCTGCTGACAGCTGCTGATCCCCCACATTTCCTCTGAGACACTGACTCTGGACCAGTAAGTCAAAAAAAAAAAAAGAAAAAAGCCTTGGGATAGTGGGATGACGAAATGTTCCTTGAAGCTGCATGTCTATTGGTAATAACCCTACAATCCCCAAACTAAAACTGAGAAAAATCTGTAAAGACATGTATTTAATTGTAAAACTATTGTCTGTCTGTTAAGATTTAGCCTAAATACTTTAAATAGGAAAAAAAAACTTCAAAATTTAGAGACATAGAATAAAGAGACACTACTGCCCTCCGGTGTTGGTTTGTGTGTACTGCCAGCAGACAGCAACAATAAACATGCAGTCCATCTGCTGGAAGACGTGACTACACAAGGATAACTCATTACAGCTATACCATGCCTTTTCCATTTGTGGCCACTTTTATGGCTTTTGAACTGTAAACATTGTTCCAAGGAAAAGGAAACACATAATGCTTGGGTTGTTGTGACATTCTTACTTCAATGAAACTCTGACGGATGGTTTGCTGCGCTCACATTTAAACTGGTAGTTGGTAAACTACTGAGAGGACAGGACTAAAAATGAAGTAGCAGAGTGTGTCATGAAAAGAACTACTGCAAGAGTGCTTTATTGTGATTTATAGATTATAAGAGGAATGTGCTCTTTTCTGCAGCAGAGAGGAATAAATCTAAAGCTGTAGTTTCTTGTTGGTTAAACCCTCAAATCCAGTCGGATTCAGTTAGCAGATGACAATGTCTTTTGAGAAGGCTGCTGTTCAGAAAAGATAATGGCTCTTCACTTTAGATAAAGTTTGAAAGGCGAGGCCCCGGAGATTTCCACACTCAACAGTTCATCATGCGTGGAAACAAAAACAGACTTTGAATATGTACGAGCAACCACACAGACCTTCAATGTGTTCAAGATTGAATGTTTCAAACTTTGTGTTTTTCTTATATATGCTGGTATGCATGGGAAACGGAGGAATGACAAGGGACCAGGACAACAGAAAACTATTAACTCGAGCATATCTTAGTTTATAGTCATGAAAGGGTTCATAATAAATCACACATGAGGCTCAAATATGATACGTGCAAGTTTTTCTTGTCCAGATGTGGAATGCAACAGAGTATATTTACTGCACTTGAGTACAGTTACATAGACATTACTACAGTGTTAAGTTGTAAGTGCTGTTTTAAGGGATAAGTTGCAGTAATGGAGGGAAGAGTATACAAACATTTAAAAATCTGTTCATTTGCTGGTACTCATTGACAGCGACTGTGATGAGCGTCTACAACAGAAGGGTCGATTCTCCAGTTTACCTGATAGATCCAGGCCACTATGAAGTGAACATGCTTTGATTTTAATTTACCATGAATGTCTGTTAAATCAGTTATCATTGACAGATAAGCAGTCACAGCTCTGAACACTAAATAACTCAGCTAGTTCTTAGTTCAGGACTCTTTTGATTCAGAGGAAAAGACTCCTCTCTACTTTAGACAGCTGCAGGACTTGCAAAAGCACTGAGCATATAATTTCTCAAGCAACTTACAGCCCTGACATGGGCTATGTACCCCCTTCCCCCTTCTTCCCCTTTCTGTATCTGACACTTACACAGACACACACCTTTGACTGTGAGGTAACTGGGAACCTCAGCACCATCCTGTCAGGAAATTATTTACTCTCCTATAGTAAAGACGCACACACATGCAAATTGTTTCTCGCTCACGGCTCGTGGCATTTGCATATTAAACATTTGTTTAACTTTCACACTCAAGATAAACACGGTCCTCTTCTGCGTGTTCTTCAAACTTGTTGTGAGGCTTTTTCCTCCAGGAAACACAGTTTACAAAAGAAGATCAAAGTTCAACTTGTACTAGGAGACGTGTTTTTGAGACTTTTATCTTTCTTAATCGTCTATATTTACAGTTGTTTCTTCTTTGCATGGCAACCAAAGCAAAATAAGCTTGCTAAGACTGTACATTTATGCAAGTACGGTACTAAGTTTTGTAGTTTTAGGACTTTAAAACTGCAATATGTAAGAGGGAAATCCTGTTGAGATGTTATTCCACAGCTACCTTTAAGTATCTGAGATGTTTTTCCAGAGGAGGGAAAGCTGGTTCTGATTGAGAAGAGGAGATGGGCTGCAACTTTATCTACACAAGACTGCTGTGTGCTGCATTATTTCATTCTTCATTTACCCTGAAACAAAAAAAAATCTGATAGAAACATCAGAGGAAGGAAAAGGTATGAGGTAACACTTTGTAACCTGGCAGATATAATCCAATCATTCTTCTGAGGGCCTCACTCTTGTTTAACGCCAGTCTATACATCATGATGTATATCTAATTTAAGGCCAAACTGACTGCTCTTTGAAGATGCAGTTCTGAAATCACATTCTGGTTTCCCCTCCCAAAACAGCAAATTACTTCTACTCCCGCAGGACGTGTGATTTTGGACTCTGAGTTGGAGCAAATCACTTGCAGACTACTTCAAGAGGAGCGTATTAATCTGAGACAAGGAGTCTGGGATTCAAGTTGAAGTATAAACAACCTCATCATCGATGGACAGTGTGGAAAAGCTTTGACTAAAGTGTGTGTACTTGGTTCCACCTCAACAACATCAACATAAGCTCAGAGTTAAGTTTTACGCCAGATACCACAGAGAAAAGCAAAAATGTGCCCTGTAATTGGTAACAGTCTCTGAATTTATGTAAGCAAGGTAGGCTGTAATTAATCCCAGCATGAGGAGGATCCTCTGCAGAGCGTGTTCATGGATTATTATTGGACGTCACCATGCCATTCTGGATCCCATCATATCCAGAGTCTAAATACACGCCTATCAGATGAGGATTTTTTTTCGTGCTTTTTCAACCGATAATTGAACAAAAACTACCAAAGGTTATCAAAGAGCATCTACCGGCAGACACATAAGTCCACTCTCATTTCCCCTAAAACACTCCGCAGTGCTTCCTCATTAAAATCCCTAAATCCGGCTGTTTAAATAAAGACGACCTGAATCCTCCTGTGAGAGTTGGAAGAGGGATGGTGGGAAAGGCAGTTTGTAGAGATGCTGAGCGTAGCTGGCACTTCTTATCTACCACGTATTAGTGAAGTTGAGGAATGGTATTTGCCATGTTGCATTAGCCTGCTGCCGTCCCATCATCGCCTGCTATTCCGAGCAACAACACGAGCCAAATGCAGTCCAGATGTCTCAGCCATCAAGCTTCAATATTTCACCAGCCCTGCATTAATCTTATCAAGTGTGTCACAGACCTCTGCCTGATAACATCGCTCAGGGGTTTTGAGGAAATCACTGCTTGCAGCTGACCACAGCTCCACTGCAACCTGAAACTCAGAACTCCTGCAGATTTGTTTTGCACATGAATTAACTCAATAAAATGAAAGTCTAACACTAAATTAGTTTGTATCTGTTTAATAGTGACACTTTAATAATCCACAAAGGGAATCTGGGTGTAGGGGAGAAAGTGTACAATTCAAGTTCTGCAGTTGAGCTCATTTTCTGTTACATCAGACGTCTTTCATATTTTTAGACTCGACGCTTGTAGGCGATATGGACGTGGCACAACAATGTGAGTCACAATACTCCAGTAATCTGCAACTGATGGGCTGAGGAGAGTCCATTTACACATGAGCAAACCATCTCAAGAAAAATCCAGTGGACAGGGACTGACTTTGCTCCTCTGTGACTGCAGTTTCAAAGAGAAGTGACAAAGTTTCATCCTTTCTTTGTTCAGCTGTCAACTGCTCATGAGACAAAAACAAACATGTCAGACCTGGAACAGCAGCAACAGGCTCACGCATTGATTTACATTTATCATCTGGAACAGAGAGGCCATCACCTGGACTACACAAAAAAACTATCCCTAAAATCAAGTTCTTCCTCATTCAGGTTATGACGCAAACGGGTGACTGATGCAAAATGACGCAAAAGCCTTGGGAAGTATGAAGCATGTTTGAAAGGGAGTCGGGAAACAAGGATGTTCCCCAACTGACACCTCATCTGATACCAGATCAGACTCAACCGAGATGTTTTACAAAGAAACACCAATGTCCTTCATACCAAACCGAACAACATGGCTATCCGAACCAACAACAGACTCCCTACTAAATGGCAAAACTCCTTCCAAAATAAAAGGACTGTGAAGCAGCCGTGTCACGCAGCATCTACATAGAAACCTGAGGACCATTACCAGGTAATGAAACAACCATCCAGGAAGTTTTCTCACATGCTACAGGTTCACGCAGTTTTTCCTTAAATGTGTTCACCAAAGCTACTGGTTTTGCATTTCAAGTTATTACAATGTGCCCCAACTCTCTGTAGTAGAGACTCATTTTACTGCCTTTACCCTTCATCCCTTTATTAGGATCCTGCTCTGAGGGATAAGTGAGTTTACCCCATAGACTGTATGGTTTACCCCCCTCAAAAAACATCAGTCAAGCCCCTGCCACTGCCAATTGGAGGACCATGACGTTCTCAAGTTTATTAACTGACGTATTTATCTATCACTTCGGTGGATTTGGACGGACCTGAAACTTTGTTTTCATTTAAATATGTCACAACTCTCTCTGGAAGGTAGTTTTTTAAGTCCTCGAAGAGTAACGTTTGTTTAAGCTGCTCAAAATCTGCCACATTATTAGATGAACAAAAGCCTGTTTTTCGTGTGCAAACTCTACAAACATCTGATAGTTTGTTTTCTTAACCTACGAAACTTCTGGCAGTATGCTTCTGCTTTAAGCACAGCTGCTTTTACTTCATCAAAATCAAGGCTTTTGTCTCCTGTTGATAATGAAGAGCAAACTTTTTGTGCTTTATTAGTCAAATCACATTGTAAGATTAGTGACCACACATTTTAAAGCTGTGGCTACACATTCAAAGAGGAAAAATATTTGTCTACACCCTTCTCAATGTTTTTACTGACACCAAACTAAACTTCATACTGAGGTGAAAGAAAACCTCTCACATCAACATTGAGACCCTACAACTTCAAACAAACCTCACTTCAAAATTTACTGCACCAAGAATACAGCAAATCTCAAACCAGTGAGGCCCACAAAACTGTCAACAAAGTTACCAAAAAAAAGGCAACACATAGTCAACAAATGGCTTCACAACAGTAACTCAAACTTTTAGATCGAAAATTACAAATGCCACCAAGTCAAACATCCAAAAAGTACAGAATCAACCATTAAAAGTAAGTTTTTTAAACAAATGAGACGAACAACAAACAGAGTTAACGGCTCAATTTTTCAAGGAATCAAAACATCATCAAATCCAAGATGAGGTCGAAAAAGTGCACAGAAGATGATTAAACAAATGCCCAAGCAAACAACTTCAGTAAACTGGGTGACTTGAAATGAAACAAGCACATTGATTAAACAAACACAAGGAGGGTCAGACACCAAAACCAGCCCACAATGGGTTGTCGGGTTTGAGGCTGACCCTCTACCCTGAACAAATCAAACAAACCATCAGTCACCAAAAGAGCCACATCTGAGGAGAGAGGAAAAGTAAGAGCTGGGAAAAAGATGTGGTTGCAGCCACCAGATGGTGCCAGAAAAGCCCCAATGCAACCTTCTATTTCACAGAGTACACTCAACTTTAACTCAACTGATGCTGAGCCCATGAAATGCACACTAAAATAAAGGTGCATTTATCACATACATTAGTTTAGTTTTCTCGTCACAAACTAACACATAAAGTTACAAACAGACCCCTGAGTATCCTCCTTTAACTTTATCAGTTTAAAATCTTTTATAACTACAAAATTCTGAAATTGACATACATAAAAAGTTCCTGATATGGTCCTTAGAGGGCTGATTAATACAGTGAAAGGTAGTCAAAGACTATTTCTACGACGATAAATGATACAGCTCTGATAGAATTGAAATTGCAACATTGTGTAATGTATTCTAACATCTATTAAATGTGCACTACTAAAACTTATTAGTTACTTACGAGTTCATAAGTTGCTACTAGTAATAAAAAAAACTGCACAAACAGCGTTGTTTAGAAAAGCAGATGCATTTATTTCATCCTGTTACTGCCATAATCAAATTAGTCCCATGAATCTGCAGGTTCATGTTGGTTTTCAAGAAAAAGATATAAACTGTGGTTTTTGTGCCAAAACAGTCGACTCCAATTCCTGATGAGCTTTGAGTGTGCATGAATGAAAACACACTTAAAGAGATTTTCAACCTTTAAATTCACATTTAATGTTGAACCCCTGTCAAAAGCAGGTACTTAAATTCTCCCTGGAGATTCAAACAACTGAGGCAAATTCAGTTCAATGTAAATTGAGCAAGCAAGTTTCTCAACCTGTCTTTCAGTTTCCTGAGCTGGGTCGCTGATACGAACTTTGCCTTCACATCTTGCAAAGACTCTTTCCTTTCTTAAGAATTCTTGTCCCTGGAGAGAACATCCTGTTTGATGGCTCCTGGTTGTGAGGTCCAAAGCCCATTTCCCACAAGGCCAAGGTCGCTGTGGTTTCCCCAGCTCTGGCCTTCCAGGATCAGTCCTCCTCTGAGGAGAGCTGAGCTCCTTCATCGTGAACCTCTCGGTAGGCAGCCATGGGGCCACCATCAGGAGTGTAACTCCCCATAGAGATCTTCAATCCCTCAGACAGTTTCTGGGCGGCCAGCTTGGCCTGTAACTCCTGAAAATAAACACAACACAGAGAAAAGTTGACATGAATAGGCTGGTAACAGAAAACAAGCACATTATTATAAAGCAGCACAGCTATAGCTGTTAAACCCCTGACAAAAGTACGGCTGATTATAAGCTTAACAGACCTCTGAGAGTTGACAGCAGCACATTGTTTGACGTTTGGCTCTCAACTCTTTACTGTGAATGTGAAGTGATACTGGCAGCGTACAATGACTGAACACTGCCCTCTAGAGCTGATGGAGGGGTGTAAGGGAAACTTTCATTTATATCAGCAGCATTCACTTAATATTTAATTCTCCAGAAACAATAGATTAGAAGAGTCACAAATCATCATGTTTAATTTATCTGAACATTTTCATTCAGGCAAAAGAAACGCTTGAATGAAAACTGCCAAATTTATGGTGTGTGGAAATAACATGTCAATAGAAACTGAAAGGTGTTATTGTCTTTTCTTCAAATCACATATTTTGATAAATATTGTTCTTATTTCTGCTGCTGTGCTCACTTTAAATGTATTCTGCAATTACATTTTCAAGACATTCATTTTAATCAGTTGTGAAATAAACATATGTACAAACAAAAACATTCCTTTCTCCTTCCGAGGAGGTCATTGCAAGATCGCAAAATCGAAGGGGCTTCAGCGACAAGAAAAAGTAGGATTTGTGGAACACAAGAGTCAAACAATCTAAAATTTTGTGAGGTGGAAAAAAAAATGTGAGCAGTTGATCAAATATATACTACAGAGCACATTTCTGGAGCAAAGAAAACTGTCCTTCACAGCTTTTTAAAATTGAACATCATAAAAAAAAACTCAAAAAGGATGTACAAAGAAAACTTCTGTAAACAGCTGTTCAGCATCCTCCCGTCTTAATATATGAAGTACTGTGCAGTGTTTTTCAGTCTGAATAGCCCTAGAAATTATTGCTCTGGATTCCTTGAACGCAAACCTAAATTCAGTGTCTCACTGGTACCCAAAACTGGACATTCATGCCAATTCAGCCTCCTGCATTATTGAACCCTGGGCCATTTTAGTTTAAATGCTCTTCAATGTCTGTAAGTAACTCTCTTTGGCAGACTGTAAAACATTTGAGGGGTTCAAACATCTCTAAGTGTTTCATCTCTGCATAGGACGGATCAAGAAACTTCTTGAGGAAAGTGAGAATACGGAGACCTGCTGGACACCTTTAGTTTGTTGAATCCACTATTGGTAATAAAACAAATGTGTGGAGGCCTCAGCTGCTCTTACCTGCTGCCTCTTAGTTTGTTTCCTCAGGAGAACAGCAGACTCTTCCAGAGACAGGAGCTGGGCAGGACTGTGATGAAGAGGAGGTAGTTTGGCTGCTGTGATGTCATCCAGGTGTTTTCTGTCCTGCTCCTTCCTCGCCTGAGCAGAGGGTGGTGAGGAGCCTTCGGAGGACTGGCTGGGTGGTGAGGACCCTGACAGAGAGATCTCATTTCTTTGGAGCAGCCTGGAAACGAGGTCAAAGAGATTTAATGTGGAATAAACTTTTAGCGATAAATTAGATAATTACAAAGTCAGGAAAATGACTGAACATGTTGCTGATTGAAATCCACACAGCTTATCTCTGTATTTATCAAATGTTGTGAAATACACATTAGTAATCATCACATGATAAGTCAAAGTCAACTCACTGATTAGGTTTGAATTTTTGCTTCCTCTGCGCTGGGATTTGCTTTTGATTTGGTATCTCCTTGAGTGAGTCTCTTGCTGTGCTGTTTAATGGGTCTTTGGATTCGCCTTTGAAACCAGTACCAGTTTCAGATAGTCTGACCCTTTCCAAGGCCTCCACAAGGTCAGCCTCTTTTGTCTCATCAGAGTTCAGAGAGGCCCCAGCAGCAGCCGTCTCCATGGTTTCCTCAGCAGCCGCTCGGAGGACAAACTGGTCCTGTTGCTCGCCTAATGTGACATTTTCATGCCTGTGAGCTAAAGTAGGAGAGCTCCCCCTGTCCTGTGAGGTACTCCCTGCAGATCCTTCATTTTGCTTGTACTGGTGCGAGGCAGCTGGTGTGATGGAGTGAGTACGTTGTTGCATAGTGAAGGCCTGCTTATATTTGGACTGTAGCTCTGTCCTGGCAGCAGAAGCCAGGTTCTGTCTCCTCTCCTCTTCATTGTGGAGCTCAATGGCAAGACGCACTCTCTCTGCAAACTCTGCAATCTTTTTCCCTTTGTCTGGAAGAGTTTGGACCAACCTCCTGCAAACAACACACTTCAATTATCTCACTTTTTTTCATTGACAGTTGAATTAGAAAGAGGCTGAGGTGCAGTCTTCTCCATTTTAATAAACAAAAACCTTTTAACTGTGTAGTTAAGAAAATTGAACAAAACTGCACAATTAAGTAATCAATAAAAAAAAATGATAAAGTACTAGTGTTTTCAAATTTAGCTTGTTTTAAAGGGATATTTTCTGGCGTAAAATTAAGTTAGGGTCAAACACTGAGTTAGACATCGCGTACAGAGATGAATGTTGCCGATCGCAGCGGGGTGACACAGCTCAAGGAAGAGCATTCATGATAATTTCTTTATCATTTCCTTGAAGTAATAATCATCATATTAATCATTTTGCACTGCAGATGTGGTAGTTCTTCTGCCTTAGAGTCTCAGTCTGATTGTATTTCCATGAAGAAATGATCATAAATGTTCTTCCTTGAGCTGCGAAACTCCGCTGCAGTAGATGGACTCGCGTACAAATAAGCGGCTGCTGGAAGAGAGACTGTGAGTTGTGTTTAGTCTCTTTGCTAAAACCACCTATAAATTAAGGACTTTCATTTTATTCATGAAAAATGTAGGAATATAAGCAAAGTCAATATTTTATTGAGTCACAGCCAACATTAATAACGCAGTTATAGCAGGCGTCAGGAGTTAGTTTCACATTTTACCAACATACTGTAGGTGGTCGCCTTCTACTTATCAGCTAGTTTCCTTTCATACTAACGAAAACAGAGATAATCAGCCTGTTTTATTGTGGATCTGTGCTCTGTAACCAGTCATTTTCTAAAGAAGTTAACATTCACAGTCTCTAAACTTCACTCTGACAGTCTCTATGTTATGAGACAGGGTAAATCGAAGTGTCTCTGAACCTTTACTGTGTCATGTTTTTCCCACGGAGCTCCACCTCAGGCTGGCTGTGTGAACTTACTTGTTCGAGAGTATCTTTTCCTGCCTCAGGAGCAGTTCTTGGAGCTCTTCTCTGCTCTGGTGTCTCAGGTCTCCCACCTGTCCCTGGCGCTCCGTCCTCGACGACGAGAACATCACTGAGTTAGCTCCTGACAGCTAGCTACAGCCATCCACAAACAGCGCGGGATAACATTTACAGACTTTGCATTAGACCAACACAGACAAAAAGAGAGGTCCACCGACTGAATATGAATCATGCTGAAAAGCAACAGAGCTTCAAAGCCTCAAAAAGAGGCAAATTAGCGGATTCGTACATGAGACAACATTTTAAAGTGAGTGGGGCTGATGGGGAACTCCTCTTCTTCTCTGCATTTGTCGCACTATGAAGTAGCTCCAGCGCCCCCTGCTGTAAATGACGCTGTAATGCATTGTGTCCATATTTCACGTTCGTACATGACCTCTGCAGGTCAAGAGTAGTCTTCAAACTCAAGACCACTATCGCTAAAATTAGTAACCCGAAATAATAAATCCAAGAAAAAGTACTTTTCATCAAAATATACCAAAATAGGACAATACATAACTAATTAAAGTAGTTTTCTTTTATTTTTAATTGCGCAATGTCCCAAAGGAGGGAAAAAAGTGCCATGAAGGGACCATATAAAAATGCAACAAAATAACTGAAATTAGGCACTCGTGAACAAAAAAATTCCTTTAAAAAAAAAAAAAAAATAGAAACTGTAAACTTAGTTTCCACCCATTCCTGGGTCATGTGAGTCTTTCCTGGTGAAGACTCAGGGTCTTTGGCACAATAACAGCTGCAAGAGAGAGAACCAAAATATGGCATATTTTGAGTGAGTAAAAATGACCAGCTGACTATTTCTTATCACCACATAAATTCCCTTGAAAATCATTACTTTGTGATAGTTATTCATAACCACTGCGCTAAATAAAGATAGCGTGAAAATTCCAGGACCACTCTTACGACCTTATTCGCCTACAGGCAGCTATCAAATCCACCCAAACCTACTTTACCCTCCATCACTAGTGCCGGGTGAAAATCACCCTAACACGTGAAGGAAAAAGCAGGTTTTGGATCAGGGACACAAATGTGCCTTCAAAGATGTCAAAGGCAATGCTGAAGCTACCCAGAGACCCATGATACTCAGTCAAACGCAACATAATGAAAATCACTTACACATGTTTGGTTGGATGAAAATCACCCAGCGATAGTGTTCTGGGGTTAAAACCCGATTTCAGAAGTCAGTGAACTGCCTGTGACCCCTAAAAGTGCTTTATGTGAGATCTGCCTTTCTGCTTTTTGCATTCAGTCTGAACAAGCACCATAGTCTCAGACTTTCCATCTCCCATCCGGATGTTTCCCAAACTACTCTGCCAACCCATATCTCACTTCTCTAAATGAACAATGTCCCCACTTCATCCAGCTGATTCCTGCCAATCCCCCCGAGTTCAAGTTCAGATAACATTTGACTGCAGCTGCACAATTAAAGAATAATGGTAGTGACATTAAAGTGTTTCTAATTTTTCATTCAAATGATTATGTTCTTTAATATAGTCTACTACAATGCAGGTTTCGTGTCCCAGATTGTATATTATCCTTTGTGAATCTAAGTTTTTTTTCAAAACTTGAAAGACAATTTCACAAAGTAATTCTCTGCAGGCATAACAATACTTAAATTGAACAAAATACAAAGAAAATTTCATAAAAACATGTAATCACTGAGCTTTTCAAAGTCAACTTGGAGTTTATCTTGTGTTTTTTGTATAAATATACAATTAAATTATAAGAAATCAAAAAAATACAAACTATTTTTAAGAGCCTCCTTTGTGTTTTCTACTATGTTTCAGACTGAGTAGTTCATAACAGTGTTTGGTGTTGCGTAAAATGTTAGTATAATAGACTGTTCACACACTGAGGATGTCTGGTTACTTGTATAGTAAATTCTTTATTTTCCAAACATGTGCTGGCCTCTGTAATGATATGTATCTTTGGGGAAAAAGGCACATCATTAAGCTTTTCATACACAGTCATGGCAGTGCAGACAACAGCTTTGTAATACTTCAATGCCCATGGCTCAGGAATGGCAGTCACCTCAATAAAGTTGATATCTTAAAAGTGTTTGAACAATTTTATCAATAGCAGGAAAATGTACTTCATTTTATACTATCGTTATAACCCTGCTGTCAATTTAAAAAGATTCATTCCCACCACCGGTCTCAGATAGTAGGCCGTTCACAAAGGCACAACACATGTTAATAAATATTTTGTATATAATGTTACAATAAGAAAATAAGATTCTTTTAATTTGTACAGAGCTGATATAAAATGATAAGAAAATACACACAATAACCCAAACCTTCATGTAAGACTGTATGCTCGTAGCTCCATGAGCAATGTACAGCAAGTAGGCTACATTCACTGTAAACAAAACAAATACAATCCTTCAATACACTATTCACAATTTTGTTTTTTACAGATTATCAGATTATTTACACCCTAAAGCAAGCTTCATCATTAATAGTGCCATGTGCAAACCATAGGCAAGAAAAAACAACTAACCAAAGACTTTGTACATCATAGTCCAGAGTCATAATCTTCACATGCAAAAGTCGACTTTTGACAGGTTTAAAATAAACATTTGTGCCACATAATGTCTTTAAAAAAGATAAAGGTAAGAGAAAAAAAGCTGAGTGATAAAAAATAAATACTCAGTATTTTTGGATTCTTAGCCTTTTCTTAGCTTTTTTCAAGAATCTGCAAATTCTTCAAGAATTTTATCACTGTGCAGTAAATACACAACTGCAATTAGCCTAGCTTAAACCACAGCAACCCACAACTGTACATCAGCTGCAGTAAACATGTATCATACAGTCATGACATACAGTTGGCTATAAATTCAGCTAACTGTAGCTTAGCATAAATACTGGCAAGACAGGAGGAAATCACCAGTCTGCTGTGGTGATTTTATTCATATGGAGCAAAATCAGCCTTCTGGCACCTCTTGAGCTTCATAATTACTGAAGAGTAATAAATACATAAACATACCATGAGGGCTCACTCCAAAAGAGCACAGAGATGAACTTTTTCAGCGATGATAGTAACATTTAAGTTTAAAAGTAGACTTTCAACTTTTTTGCATTTCTTTGATTAACAGCAAAAAGTTGGATGAGTTAGTTTGTATCACTCTCACATCAAGCATGAAGCTACTGTACGTTTAGCAGTCGGTGAAGCTAGATTAATCACAAAGACTGCATATGAGGAAAATTGCATAAGATTTGTGTAAAACTTCTGCTAAAAGTAGCTCTCTGTTTCCATTGTTAATAAATTGTCTTCACCATAACATAAGACTCCTGACAAGGCCATGTATTCCCCAACATCTCTAAGAAGTAATGTGGAATCAATCGATGTTTATGTTTGCTGTAATCTCCATGAGTTTCATAAACGGTGAGGTAACCTGAGGTACTCTTGATCTTGGTCGAGATAGGGATGAGGACAAAGTGGATCCTGCTGAACTTGATTGAGTGTCTGTGTTTATGTCTGCATCCACCTCATCTCTGGACCAAACTGGACTCTCAGGAGACTCAGACTCAGATTGACGGGCGGAGGATAACATCACACTCGTTATTGAAGGGTTGGACTCCAGATAACGGCTGTATTCAAGAGGAGTGTACCTCAGTAAACTGGACTCTAGCCTGCTGGGCGGAGGGTTAGACCTGAACGTCCTGGGTTGAATGGGGGATGTCAGAAAGAGGGATGGGTGTTGAAGAGGAGATGGAGGGGACTGAAATAGAGAGGGAGGTAAAGGTTGTGTGGGGGATGTTGAAGATGGAGGTGGTGATGATGGGTCTGGTAGAGGTGGAGGTGATGGAGATGGAGATGGTTTTGATAGATATGGGGATTTAAATGGTGGTGACGGATCTGATAGAGATGGAAGTGGAGGTGGTGGAGATGGTTTCGATTGAGATGGAGGTTTAGATGGTGGGGATGGATCTGGTAAAGATGGAGGTTGAAATGGTGGTGATGGTTGGTTAGGAGATGAGGGATGAGCAGGGGATGAGGGTTCAGATGGAGCTTCAATTAGTGATGGGAGTTTCATTGGTGGAGGAGGATAAGCAGGTGACTGATGTGTGAAAGGTTGGAGATGAGTTGGCTCACTTTGAAAAGGAGGTGCAACATCTAGCCTTTCTGCTTCACGTCTGCAGGTGCACATTGACACATCAGGGTGAGGAAACACCTCCACAACAAAGCATCAAATATAAAAAAAGCTGCAAAATATAGTCCCCAAGAGTGCATCTTACCTAGGGAGCAGATTGCAGCCTAATCCTATCTCTCTGGTTTCCAAAACATCTCTCGGCCTATTCTGTGTGGACATAAAATACTTCAGCTTGTCTTCTAATTCATTATTCTAGAGAAAGGAAAAGAGGAAACAACACTGTCAGATCAGATACGTGCAAGGTTTTTTTTTTTGATAGGTGCATGGAAACCACACAGACATTGTCAAAAGTTCAGGATATTCAGCACTCAGCAACCCCAGAATTCTAAACTATAGCCATGCAATAGATTACCACACCGCACCAAAAACAAAATATGCAGCAAACAGCACACAGCTTGAGTATTTATCTTACCTCACACTCCACTATCGCAATTCTGTCCAGGAGCTCAGAGATGAACATATCCTTCTGAGCCACTTGGGAGCGCAGAGAGCCAACCTTCACAAATTCAGACAGAAAATACTCAATTAAATACCATTAAACATGTTTACACAGAGATATTTCTTTAGCACAGATCTTATGATGGCATAAGTATGTTATTTTCTAGTTCTAATTCACCTCATTCTTTAAGCCATTTACAGAAATAAGAAAGTAATTTGGTTCTAGCTTCACATAGACGACATGAAAAGAAAGTCTTTGCCTGTGATACTCAGATATTTTTTCTTACTAGAAACTTTAAAAAATTTTGCATTGGCAAAGTTCAGCTGATCTTTTCTAAGACAATAACTTTAGAAATATGCTTAAATATGTTTAACCAGTGGGACAATGTCTCTGGTGATGGTGGGACTATTTATCAGTAAAGCAGGTTATTCTTATTCTGACACAATTATCATATTGCTGGAGACAAGTGTGAATGTTTTCCCTCCAATATGACTCACCAAGTCTCTTAAGAGTCCTATAGGGGGTGCTATTGACATAAACTTGTACTTGACCTTTTGTTGGCATTTGTATTCTTCAGATATCAAAAGGTGTTATCAAAGAATTATCTTGCAATCTATAAATAACAGCAGAATTTCTATAACATGTGAGTGTTGTTATTTAGGAGCATTAGTGTCATACCATTCCTGAGTTAATATACTCAGCATTTAATGCAACATTACAAGAATAATCCCTCTGGTTAAGGTGGTGGAGAACATTAAAAAAGATCTTTTCTGTGGGAAAAGTGGAGTTAGACAGTCTGGGGAGACTCTCTGATGATGCTCTTTAATCACTAAACCTTTAATCTCTAGATCATGTGTATGGATCTTAGCCTCTAAGCTATGACAACACCACACCCTGTATTCACTCTACGTCGTATGAAGTTTTATGGACCCTGTGTGCTCTGTACTCATTTATGTTCTGGATGGTAAATAAACTTTGGCTGTCTCAGCTGACATATGCATCTCCTCCACACCCAGTATCAAAACACAAACAGAGTAGAAGACATGGATGTGTGCGGCTGGACCCTTTCCATACTCACCTCCTCGATCATTCCTTTGACTTTCCTCTGCTGGCAGAACACCATGTCGTTCAGGTGTTTGATTCTCTCACGCAGATCCACAGCCTCAGATTGCAGCTCTTTGGACCTAAAATGACCAGTAAGGGGTTAAACTCACACAAAATCTGTGTACCGACATCATCCAAAGATCAGCAGCCAGGTAAGATACACAAGGATAAATTCTCAGAGGGAGAAAGAGATGCAGCTCACTATTAGAGTTTTTAATTTGAGAAGGGGTTACACAACTCTGACTTCTTGGAGTGAGTACGTCAGAGTTGTTGGCGCCTGATCTGGTTTTCCATCAAAACTATTCTCAACTTTAGAAACTTCAAACTAGGGACTGATTATCAACTCTAAAGATTGTTTTTTTTGGATCAGTTGTCAGAAATGGGGGAAATCAAGGATAAAGTTCCTTCACAACTTACATTAGTTATCTACACTCAGAAATGAAGACTGTGTGGTTGAATAAAAACCTCAGATCTGAACGTCGTTTTCTACCTTTTGACAGCTGTAGCATCAGTCTGGTCTGTCAGCTCCAACAATCGAATACGCTGCTCACAGTCCCGCAGCTTTAGGTTGAGTTGACTCTTTTCCTGAAAATATTTTATTTCATATTAATAATTTTGTCATCTCCTGCAATTGTAAAAAACATGATCCCTGTTGGTGTTAAATTGTTGCCCTACCTTTCCCATACAGTCCAGCAAACGCTCCAGTTCAACGATCCTCTGGTCTCTCTCAGCAATCTTGGCCTCTGCAATCTTGATGTTCCTCTCTGCCTCCTCAAGTCTCCTGATGTACTCATCAAGTTGTGCCTGTTTTTGAGGGAATAATAAAACATCATCAGTGTGTGATTTTGCCTGATTTGACATAATTATTATAAAATATGTCAGAAATTAAAAAAAAAAAAGAAGAATCATCCCAAATCAGTCCTGATCTAATGGAACAGGGGTTCCAGTTTCTACAGGCTTTGAGAGAGTTTATTACTCAACAGTAAAGAATGCGGACCTGTAGGTTTTCAATTTCCTCCCTGTGTTTCCGCTGTTCTTCCTGCAGCTTTTCCTCGTACTCGCGCTGTAGCCTTGCTGAGAGCTCCCGCAGGGCCTGAGTGTTGGCCTCCTGTGAAGACTCCACCTGGACAATTCACAACACAGCAGCAATGAAACCTTTGCTGGGCTGATTCATCCATATCCAGCAAAGATAATCAGATAACAAGATGCAAATGCAACCAATGGGATACTCTACTGTTGTGTATTACTTGGAAGTTGTGACTCCTTACAATCTGGGGTTTATTTGTGCTTTTATGTTTTGTTTGTGTGTTACACAGCCTGGAATGACAGATGACTGCTCTAAAATTTGGGCCAATTTGGGCAGCAGGAAATTGAGGTACCGTGGCAAGCAAGGGCAGATGATCCAGTAAAGTCCAAATGAGCTTCATTTGGAGGAGGGTGAAGAAAAAAGCCAAAACAACAGCTTTAACAGCAAAAGCTCAGCCAATACATGAAACAAAATCATTAACTCTCAAAACCAGAAACAACTGCAAAATAAACGTGCAGCACATCAAGCTATTTCTACCAAAGTACTCCAAGCCAGATTTGTTGTTGATGGGGCAGGAGGGAAGAGCAGACACTTAATATGGGTTGAGAGTTTTCGTACCTTCCCTGAACAAGATCAAGCTCAGCAGGACACATGAACGTGCATGCACAATGAGTGTCCATGCAGTGTCCACACAGAGCTGCCTGTGTGGCTTAAGTCAACAATGCCAGGAGACAAAACACAAACACCACCGGCCTTGGAGTCTACGTTAGGAAACATGGGCCTGGAGCTGCACAGCTAACAGAACTTTGTAGATGAGTGAGATCCTCAGGGTTTGGCTCCAAGTGTCCTAGGCTGCTGACACTTAACACCCCCACAGGTCACTACAGATGGGGGCAGTATTGTGCCTGATATCCTCCTCACGCCTCTCTGATCGAATTAATGAATAAAACTGAAATCGATAAATTTCAGGTTTTTTAGTAACTCAGTCCACTTGAACATTCCTCAAACATACTCAAGCTAACTCAAAGTGTTTTTCATTTGCAGTGTGTTTCAGTTGCTGGGTTCATTGTGAACTCTTTAATGTGTTTTTGAATTTGCACTGATTCACTTGTGGCATTTACACTCAACGTCACGGTTTGTCTGCCCTCGTTTGTCACCATAGAGGGGAACTACATCAAACCATTCCAGGTCAGAGCAGGAACTTTAACCCCATTTTTGGAAAGTTATGAATGCATGAAGGTGGAGGTTTGTGTGAGAGTGTGCGTATAGGGAATTATTCGGAAAAGTTACCTGCTGTCTTAAGGTCTTGTTCTCAGCCTGTGCAGCAAGAAGCTCCTGCTCCTTGTCTCTGAGTTTCTCCTGTGCTTTCTCATAGGTGCTTCGTAAATTCTTCAACTCATCCCTCTTATCCACTCTGTTCTGACAGTTCTCCAGAAGAGATTTCTGCAAAGGAAGCTTCTTTTACTTATCAAGCCTGTGAAAAGGTGCTGCTGTCATGAGCCAGGCCTTTGTAGGTTAAATGACATTGATTTGTTACCTGCAGGCCGATGTTAGCAGATATAAGCGAGCTGTTCATCTGATCAAAGCTCTCCATGGCCTGTGTCCGGATCCTGACCTCTGACTCCAGACTCCTTCGATGGGAATTGGCAGCCTTAAGACACATACAGAGTCACATAGCATGTTTAGATTCATTCACAGCCTCAAAGTCTGATTGAAAAAGGATCTTTGATATGATTCATTACCCTGATTTCCTGTGACAGCTTCTGCATTGATTGCTGCATTCCTCCAAACTGCCCGTACATCCTCTCTCTCACCTTCTCCAGAGAATCTCTCACCTGAGTAAAGAGCAGATCACCTTCAATACATTCTGCTAAATCCTGCTAAAAACAATAATGTGCTGACCTGAAGGCCTGGCTGATGTTGTGATGGTTTGCACTCACCTCCCGGATGTACCTCATCTCATCCTGAAGATGATTGACCGTCCACTCGCGCGCCATCACCTCCTGCTGTCTGTCCGCGCCTGTCCTCTGCACAATGCCATACACTTTGGCTCCATGATGCTGCAGCGAGGTCTCTGGTGCCCCATTGGTCATGTCCCCAAGGTGCTGAGGGAGACAGGATCAACTCCGGTCAGGTTACTGTAGCCAACCTGCATCCAGACTGACTTACACTCCCACTGTGTATCTATGTCCTGGATTTAAAATTCACAGCTCTCAGGCGCCACATGTGTTTGTGTGTGGATGCAGTCGACTGCATATGAACACTTTATCAGGAATTTCCAGCACTGCTTTCCCCCCTGCTGCTGCTGCTGCTGCTGAACACTGGAAACAAGAGGCTGGGAACAAATGGCTAAAAAAAAAGTGCAGGGTGCATTGAGGGTGTCATGTTTCTGCAACCCAGTACATGAGCTGCTGCCGTTTCTGTCTTTTGTATCTTTAGCAGGCGGGCACCCAGTGAAAAGAGATGCACAACAGCAGCGAAGAAGGGTAGCACTTTAAACAATGCAAGAACTAAATAACAAATGACAATAATAGTCATGGATGCAGATAAGAGATTCAATTTCTCTAAATATTTTAGAGCTGTGGTACAAGAGGTAAATGTTTGGTTTGTATATTTCAAAGAATTTATTCATTAAGGATCCAACTAATGCATAGATAAGGTGCTAAAATAATAATCTGTGCAAAGTTATAAATAAGCAGTTGTAGTTGAGGCTCCAGAAAACTTGTCACTGCCCTGCACCATCCTTTAATGTTGGATATCCTTGCATACAGTACATCATAAATGACAGTCTGATGGTGCATGCACAGCAGGGTTCTGCAAAGGAAGCTTCTTATACTTATCAAGCCTGTGATGCTTGTGAAGCAGTGGCTGTATATCCCTGTTGTGTCATGCCTATAACTCATGTCATAGATGTGAATGTTACCGGCTGAGGTGACTCCCTGCCTGCTGGCCTCTCTCTTTGGATCATCCCATTTTTCTTCTTCCAGGCAGCGCTGACGTCCTTCTCAGTCTCAGCCTACAGGAAGAAAAAAACAACAACAAATAATCAAGACTGCTGTTTAGGAAGTCTGACGTCACTCCACTTGATTGTTGACCTCAAAGAGTTCAAGACTGTTTTAAGTTTGGGTTATCAATTCATGTCAACATTTCACAACGTGGAAACCCTCTAATTAGCAAAGACTCTTGTGTAACAATGCTCTCAGGTCTGTCATTGTTCCTGCTTACACAAAGAAAAGAGATCTTCAGGAAGACATAAAATGCAGGCTAAGAAAGATAGTTTTGCTTTTTATTTATGTTCTTGCTAGCTTCTGCCCTTAATGTATCTTTGTGATACTGAATTTTTTTATTTTGTACTTTTATTTTATACTAATCATAATACCTGACCTTGTAACTTATAATAAAATGCTTAATAATGTGTTATGATTATTGCTATAAAGCATTATAATCATTTATGAGTGTTAATAACTATAGTCATACAGTGCTATAACGTGATTATAATGCATTATAAATATATTTAGATAGATAGATACATAGATACATACATACATACATACATACATACATACATACATACATACATACATACATACATACATACATACATACATACATACATACATACATAATAAAGATGAAGTTAGTACATGTTACACAGTAGAGAAAGATCCATCAGTCTGGGCCTCTCACATAGATAAGAGTGAGGAGCAGCCTGAACAAAGACGTCTGTGTTGTCTCATGGACAGAGCTGAGCCTCACATTTCTTCACCATTTCATCTACAGAGGACGTGCTGTTGAGAAACAGCGAAGGGCCGCTGCTAATAGGCGGATGTGAATTCCAACAGATGGGAGGGAAGAAAAGCCATCATTATGTTTTTAACAACACAGCAGCCTCCTCCTCCCATAGGCTCACAATAACAATGCTGTATGAGCTGTTTTGAATTTTATATCCATGGTGGAGTACACTTGGGGTTAATATCTACCTGCTTTTTGCAGAACAAACAATGATTTATGGAAGGGGAAGAAGAAAAGAAAACGACCTCTTAACAGACATCTATTTTACAAACTTTCAGATGCTGCTGGATGGTTTTCGTTGCTCATGAGTGCTTTGCAGTATAACGTGACTGCATTGTGAAGGACTGGACTGATTGCATTACCTCCCTTTTACCAACACAAACATGAAAGTTGTTCTCCAATTTTTGACACAAAGGACCTCTCATGCCGCTTGTTCAGCTGAATCACGTTCAAAGTGAACTTTTAACCCCTTCAGAAATGAAATCCAATGACAGAGGTTTAGGTACATCTATATGGGTATCTATGTCCTTTGTGTGTCATCTAGGCCAGAGTGACTGGCTGGATTGTGTCCATGATGTGTCGGGTTGCAGTATACACCCCCTTCTTAATTTATGGTGACTCACCGTTTGAAAAAGTACTCTATTGAACACAAAATATCTCTGTCAAATCATGTTGATGCTATTTCCTTTCTTCCTGATTCACTGAAAGTGAAGCCTTTAGCCGCTTTCACTGCAGCTATAAAAACATTAGTTCAGACAAAGAAAACTGACCTACATCTGATCGGATCTGTTACATCATAATGCTGAGCACGTTGCTGGTATTTGAACTGAATGTTTTCTAACAACAGCTACGTTTCCCAGCAATCTCACTAACACCTGTACGTATCTATGAGCTCAGTGCAGGAAGACCAGGTAAAGCATAGACAGAGGGTAGCTTTTTAAACCCTGATAATAACCTGCAATCTTTTTTTTTCACTATGCATCAGTGTCCATGCAAAGTATACAGCATGACCTGTTATTTTGGCATGCTGCTGAGTTGGCATAAACTTTAGATTGAGACTTTTTATAGAGTTGCTTAATAACGCCCAATAGAGACCCGCCACCACCGCTAATCCCCCAGGTTTCACAGTTTAGCTACCACTAGCTGACAGTCGGCTAAGTTTAGCTCTAAATTTGTAGACACAGACACAACTAATACAGCACACCACAAAGCGAACAAATTTTCCTTGTAGCATCTAATGACACTGTAGTCCCTATAATAACAAAACATTCATTTTGAGCAGATTAAATTCATTTGATAGTAACAGTTCAGCGATGTTTTGAGACTGCTAGCCAAGTACATGTAACAGTCCTGGTAGCCCATTTATTACTTCTTCTTTTTTTACAAGGAACCTGATCAAGCGAATTGACATAATTGTACTTCTTCAATAATTTTTCACTATTCTTTTGTATGCATTTTTTTTTTACCTCAGGCAGCTGCTAGCAGAGATGCTAATATCTATTCAATGGAAAAGAGCTCCACTTTTGCATGGGTGCAGCTCACACACCAAAGTACACTTTTTCAATGAGCACTCATGCATTTCTTTCCTCTCACTTTTGACACGGCTGTCTTCAGATCCAATGCTTTTGGTCACACCCTCCCAAAGAGAGACACATGGAAAGATTACAGCAGCAGCTGCTATCAGTGCGGTGTGGAGGTGTGGTAAATGGACACACACTCTACTGCTTGGCCAAGGTTCATACAAAACACGCCACCATGTTTCTGTCAGGATTCTGCACTCCATTGCCAGCAACAGGGACAAAAACCTCCTCAGTGCCAACAATAAGTAACATTCAGTTCTTCTCACTGTCAAACCACAGACCAAATATCCTGAACACAAACAAAAAGCCACCAACAGCAAACACTAAGACAGCCTGCAGCGTTTACTCTACCCACAGTCATACAAGAGATATCATTAATGTAAAGTGTAATTCTGCGATAAGCAAACCTAATTCTGTTACAATAACTATGTTCTGATCAGAGTCAGAGTCAGTACTGTTTCAACTCTCAGGTGTCTTGGGTATCAGCTATACTGTTGGTGCAGTGAGTGTCTTTTCCTATTGTATGGAGTAGATTAAATGTTCAGAGTCAAAGTTGAGCTTTGAAGTAAATGTGAGCCAGCTGTGCGTGCATTATCTCACACACACACACACACACACACACACACACACACACACACACACCCTTCTGTCATGATTGTGTAACCGGTCCAGATGATAAAAAGCATAAATCTCAGTGGCTCCACCATCTTCCAAAGGCATTCGTCTTAAAGGCTGTGTGTATATATTTACATGAATTGTTATTGTAGGTTTTTTTGTCGTGCTTTGGTGTGTATGTGTGTGGTTTACATTTAATGTATTCAATAGCCTTAATTGAGCTCTATTCACTGAGCCTGCACCTATCTAAATGAGGCTGTCAAAGAAGACTTATAGGCAGGATATAGAACAGTTAATTGTATGAATTTCAATGAAGTTATAGGACTTACTGTGTCTGAGCGAACACTTCTTGCCTCCTTGTTTCCATTATCACCGGCGTGTAGAGTTAACCTGAGGCGCCTGATCCTCCTCTGAGAAAGACAAACAGACAAAGGCAAATAAATGATGGTCTGCACGCAAATGATTTAATACATTATATCACAATGAGCAAAGGTAGGAGAGCTGACATGGAAACATAGCTGAGACTAACGCTTGGAAAAAAAGACCTAATACTTGCCACAGTCCTGTACAGCCCCCCACCACAATGGGTTTATTTATAGACAACAGAACTGCAAACAAAGTTTATGTAAATGCCGTGAAACTGCAAAGTGGAGGCATGCATCATAATGTTGTCACCACAGTGACTGCTTTGTCTGGTGGTGTAATAGAAAAAAAACACAATTTCACCCTTTTTAAGGTTTCAATTAGATGATATGATATCAAAATAACGTGCAGGAATGAATCCAAAACAAATCCACTTTACCGGATCATAGTATGTTTACTTTTCAGCAGAAAACAATGAGAATAAGTTTAAAGTTTCAGTACAAAGGCCTGTTTTATCAGAGAGCTGTTCAAATAAACATGACAGCCCTGCCTCCTGCACAATCAGCTCCTATTACGTGCTCTTGTGAGTGAACACATCCTCTGACAAACATGAACTTTCACACGATCAGTGGACAGAAAATGTTAGCAGGGACTTAAAGATCTTAAGCTTTCCCTGCACGGATGAGAAACAAGTGGTTACAGAGTTGCACATGACAAACAGAAAAGGGAGGAAAAGCCCAGGACTGTTTGTGCAAAAATGAAAAGAGGAGAGCAAGGAAAGGGGAAAGTTTGTGTGTCCTGACGTCTGAGACTTCTTACCTCACTTGAAGACTCTGGAGAGTCCTCTGTGGTAGTGGTTGTGGTGGTGGTGGAAACAGTTCGTCCCGAACCGTAGCGAAGCATGTCTCCTCTTCGGTCCACTCCTTGCCTGTCTTCCTCTCCCTCTCTGGACCTCCTCCCACCCTTCCTCTCACTCTCCTTCCTGAGTTCTGTTCAAACTCTCAGAGCGACCATCTGCCCCCGGCCCAAGCCAGGAGAGAGGAGGGAAATTCCACTCTGTCAAGTCTGTTGCTGGTTTTAGTGGTGGAGTTGGGAGTCCAAAGGGGCCCTCTCAGCCAGGTACAATCCTGTCTTGCGTTCAGCTCCACAAATTCAGATAAGTCATGGTCTTAATTGCAGTCAGACTGCTCCTGACTAATACACCTGACTGACAAGCTCTCCTCACTCTGAGTCCCTCTATCTCTCTCTCTGTGCGTTTCTGAGTTCCCATCAGACCTGTCTGGCCACATTTCAGCCACCTCCCTGCTCTGTGCCTTGTGCTGTAAGAGCTGCACTTTCACAGGCGGGTCCTCCTCCCAGGGCTGGGACAGGTGGAGCTGCTTATCAACAGGAGTGGCTAATAGAGGAACTGGACTCTCTGTTGACTGTGGTGTTTACCATTGGACAATATCTGCTCATTACACGTGCAAAGGTTTGACTTGTCTTAGTTATGCCTTAAATTGTGCAGAATAAAGTGCAAAACAAACTCCTTTGTTTACCTGTTTTTTACCATCTAACACACAAAAACATGAAAAACATACAAACATAATAGTTTACACTTGATTCACCTGCTCAAATGAAATTCATTTATGAGCATTTCAAGCACTACTTTTATACAATTGTGAGTTACACCAACACTCATGACATAATTTCCATTTTCTTCATTAGTCTAACGGTGACTCCAAGAGGGAAACTGGTGACATGGCCAGGAGCTTGGCCTTTGGGTGTCTGGCACTGGAAATGTCAGACTTCATCTTTGTAACACAAAAAGTCAAAGTCAAAGATCTTGAGATTGTGGATCATAATGAGGGTGTTATTTGACAGATCTCTTTGTACTGAGGACAAACTTCAAAGCTTGAATTCATTCTTGAGTATTTTTTAGACAGTGGTACTAGTACAGTTACTTCCTCCAGCCCTGCTGCTGTTACTCCACATTGAATCGAGTCAGAAACAGTTTAATGTCCTGTAGTTCAGGCGGTGCCTCGGCTGATCAATTATTGATACACTCGATAGGGGATAGTGATGAAAAGGGAGACAACACTGCGAACATTATTTTTTAATGTCATTGTTCCCCCTACACTCACAACAACAACAACAGCTCTGTTTGGTAATCCAGTTGTGTTTTCACTGTTGCTAACATACTCATGTTCACTTTATATTTCCTCATCCTGTCAAACATCTTGAAGGAAGAGACAGACCGTCAACTTGACAGCAGGATCACATTCCTCTTATGAATAGCCTGCAGTCACTCCCTTTTAATAGAAACTAGACACACACACACTCGCGGAGGAGAATCAAGTTTAAGAGCCAAAGCTGCCAAACAGGAGAGAGAAAGAGAGGGGGTTGTTCAACAAAGATCTGCAGTTAGCTAAAGTCAAAATACATCAGCTGACATCGAAATATAAAAGAGAAAAATTCTCAGTATTATCTAACAGGTATTTCTACAGGACTAAAGAGTTAATTATTAACCAGATATCAAACATGCTGTGTTTCTTCACTCCAGAAATCAGTGAGCAGGGCGCTCAGTCAGGCCTGTGTCTAAATTATCAGATTTTCATTCATGTGGAAACCCTCTCTCGTAAACAAGTCAGATTATCTTCTGTAGTGATCGTACTCTAAACTGTGCTGTGATCAGAACACAGACTCAGAGTTGGATCTGTCGAAAAGGTTGGATGGACAGATTTGAATAGAGAGCATGATACTATAAAGAGTTCAATGTTGCACTACTTTTGATCAAAATATAGAGGAAACAACACTTAGAAAAAAAATTGTTGAAGAAGATTTTATAAAATATGAGAACATTTCAGAAACCAGCTCTCAATTATGGCCATGAATTTCTGTTTTTGTCCTGCTAAGTGATAGTAAAGCTGCGTTTTGCTGCTGAGTACAGGTTGCAGAACAAGTGTTTTATCTGTATGACGGCTGTGTTGATGCTTGTGTTGTATTTTGTTGTTGAAACTGAAAACAAAAGCTGCTGTCTATTCAGACTCTCTGCAGCTAAAGAATCCAGGATGACTTTAGAGGGAGTTTGACAGAAAAGAGCCATCGCTTGTGTTGACAGACTGATGTGCTGCTGCTGCTGATGAAATGACACAGAGCATCACAATGCTGCTGTTCAGACCTGAGAGAGCAGATGAGGAAGTAAATCCTCTGCTCACAAACATTGAAAGTAACTTTGTTTTTCAGAAACTTTTCCAACCTTTCTTTTTGTCCGACCTGTAAAATACTAATATGAACGCTTTCAAAGCATCAGAGGTCCATGTTTTTTCTTACACTCTGGTGGATTAAAGGAATTTTGCATACAGGTGATGGTAAACAAACTTGACAGGCATCCATCTTGTGTAAAAATGGCTTTCAAAGATCAGCTAATGCTTAAATGAGTCAGGCAAACAAAAAGTTTCTCCTTGTTCATGTCTGCTTACTTTTTGCTCGCTGAAGGATTGTGACAAAAAGTGGGGATTTCAAGAATAATTTCAGAGAGTATTTTTTAAGATAACAGCGAAAGCCATGTTGTCTTTGGATAAACTCTTAGCAATGTAGCTCACAAAGAGGAATTTGTTGATGGTAAAAAAATAAAAAAAACAGAGGAGTACAGAGAAAGTTGTTTTTTTTAAAGGTAACTTAAATAGTGCAATTTTATGGATCTGATCCCTTTTACTTTCTCTCTAATCTCTTTCATAGCTTCAGATAACTGATGGATTAGGATAAATAAATAAATATAGCTGTGCAAGTTTGCACTCTTGCTTAAGAAACATGGTTGTTTGATTGATAAACTGAATGTCTAGATGAGTGAAAAAGTGATATACCATTTCTGACCTCAATCATCTTTTGTTTTAAATGACCCAGTTGTGTTAAATGCATATAAGTCATACATCAAAACTGCCTGTTAATGAAAACAGAGGTGAGACACATGACCGGCTGTGACTCCAAACAGACAAGCCCTGAAAGCAGGTTTGTCCTGCTGCTCTGAGGTATTCACTGCCTGAGGCGTCGCACACATACTTCACTCTGAGTTAATGTACTGAACCTGAGTAATGCTGCAGGTATCGATGAAAACAACATAACTCTGTGGGTGTTGACCTATAAATAAAAATGAGAAGATGAGACTAATTAATTTGGTTTGTTTTGTTTAGCAAGCCAGCTTCACCAGAATGGAGAAATTGTAGAGCTGCATGTGTTGTTTGGGGGGGGTCTCCTTCTTTCTGTTCCTCTGGGGTCTGCAGAGGTTTGACAGCTGAGTTCAGTGATAAAAACCAGCCTTCTTATGTTTACTTCAGTGTTATTAGCCCTAACGCCTGGAGGAAGAGGTGAAATTATGTTGTTATTTTGTTTTCCGTGTTTAACTGCAACCCACAGAATCCAAGTACCTGTTTGTCTGTTTACAAAGTTATGATGTTCAGGTCTTCATCATGTCTCTCATCAGTCTTCTTTTTTCACTGGAGAGCTGACAGTTTTCATGTAAAACCTGTAACCCCTGTGACCGCCAGGGGGCAGCATAGCACTGCATCATGTTGACAAAAGCACTCACATGTTTTTATTTTTTCTTTCCACCTACGCACATTCACCAGAGAGAAGTTTGTAGATCCCTGTAAGACTCGTTAAACTCGTATGTTCCCCTATTAAGTTATGTGAAACAGAGATCTCTGTGTGAACAGGAGCAGCTTAAAACTCCAAATCTGCCCTTTCACACCAGAAAACACCCTGCTCCCTCTCTCAGCTGTCTACCTTTTATATTTCCCAGCAGTCTCTCTGGCTGAGGTCACTCAAGCACATGAAGGAATCTGAAGAATGATCACCTTGTTAGGCAAACTCAAATTTCCTCTGAGAAGTCATCCAGCCAGCAGCACAGATTAGTTTACTGCTTGGTTTGACAAGAGAAAGGGAGATGACACTGTGGCACTTAAAGGGTTGATTTGTTTGTTGCCCACAGAGGAGCAACAAATGAAGGTCATGACCTGCCAACAATGGACCGTCAGACAGAGGGAGAAAAAGACTGGTTTGATCAGCTCCTCGTTATGCTGGAATCAGCTGACAAACTTTTCAGATAAGGATAAAAAAAAAAAAAATCTCCAAGTTTTTGTTTCTTTTTCACTTGTAATCAGAGTTGGAATGAAGTGACCATGAAGGATTACTACAAATGACAGCAAAAAAGATCTCTGCAGCGTGACCTTTGAACTTTTAGGGATGTGCTCAAGCTCTACACTGGGAACCCCCAAACCCCTCAGAGACAGGAGGAGGTCAAAAGCTGTGCATTAAAAGGTGATCAGGCCCAAACACAGGATCATATATGCTTCATTTACTGCAGCAGAAAAAATAGTGACCCTGCTGAGCACGAACTGCAAGATAAAGAGCTGCTGTTGACACAGCTGCTCCGACCCCACACAGATGTTATCAGGAGAGTGAAGTCAGTGATTCATGGACATAATATGGATCAAATCACCTCTGAAAAAAGTACCTACGGGTTTTTTACTCCAGTTTGTGTCACCCAATATAATATCATTTCTATTCTACTAGAAAAAAGACAAATATTATGATTTTTACGCAACCATAGTTTTACTTTATCACATTTTGCAAAGAGCAAATGTTAGACTTCCTTCCTTAGGAAGCCATGTGTGTCCACTATTCTGTCACAACAATCTCTCAAAGCGAGTAAAATACTGTCCCTGCCCTTACCAAAGGTGGCATCTTTCTTGGCTCTGAATCGATCCCCTTTAGAGTCAAACTATTATCAGTTCATTAAAAACATTTTTAAAAAATGTATTTGAGCCTGAAGGTTAAAAATGATAAAACGCCAAGATTATTTTGCTTTTTTTTCTGGCAATGTATTTAACAGTAAAAAATTAGAGATTAACTGTTTAAGAAAATAAACATGGGATATGTCGAAGACTTTTAATGTGAATACATAATGAAGATTTTGCTGAAAATTAAATGGCAGTAGGTCCATTTAGGAGCTTTAGACCTGGAAACATCTTCTGAAACACCGTCAGAGTCCAGTTTGAATCTAAAGCTTTGAATGACTCAACCTCTGAGGACTTGAATCTCTTTTATATTTCAAATATGATGGTGGATATGATTTTTAACATTTTTTTAAATGTTTTGGGGAAAACTAAGTATTTTTTTTGTCTGTAAAAAAACAAAATTATTATTAAACAAGGGAAAGCATGTAAGAGTAACTGGAAGAAACTTTATTTGAGTGTCAGCAGGATTTATAAACATATACATTTGTACAGAGAGGTAGCGGAAGGAATTAAACCCACTCTCCCTCCACAGACGTCAGAACAGGAGGATATTCAACGCAGAGACAACAGAGAGTGCAAATCATCACAGTGTAGTCGAAGCATCAGTTTGTCAATTTATCTCATCTGAAGACATTTCTCCAATCACTGCGCTTCAGGGAAAGCTTGTGGAGATCCAGATACTTTCTGTTACAGGCACTGAAAGACTGAACGTATATCGTGGAAAAATAATGTAAAATGTGAGCTGAAAAAAAAAAATCACTGCTCCGTTTAAAAGAGAAATCACAGGAGACAGAAGTTATAGAAAAGAGTTTCCAGTATATCAGCATTCAGGGTGAAATGGTTTTGATGTAGAGAGCGGCTTTGTTCAGTGCTGTCACTGTTTAAAAGTCAGAAATCACAGAAATACAGTGAATTCAGAAAAAAAAATTGTTGCATAAAGCTGCCTCTTCCAGTAGATGTGGTATAAAAGCAATACTTGAACCATTATTTCAGATAAAACTACAAAAATGATGCTGATAAGATTGCAGTGTTTCTATTATTTGTCATTAAAACATATAAAACTGTATAAAAAAGGATGTGTACAAAGTCCCTCATTCGCTGTTCCCTCAACACTCACTGAGCCAGGATTTTGTATTTTCAACCTTGAATAAATTAAAAAAGAACATCCTGGCACTCCTCACTTCATATATTCAGTTTAGATCTTCATTTTATTTTTTTTTTTAAGTATATATATTTTATTTGTATGAATGATACAAAAATTATATTCATAAATTGTATGTAAAATTGACACTTGATAGGCATAAAAAGTCAGGTTAAAACTTTACTTTGTTCAGAAAGGCAGGAAAGGATGCGTTTTGTGCAGTGCATTAAAGAGTGCGTATTCAAGTTTACTTATGCTTAACAAGTGACTAAAAACTAAAGAGTGTGTGTTAACAAAGAGAAAATCCAAACAGGACAGACCTATTTGACGTGAGTAAGGCGTAATATGGGAATGTAACGTTATCACAAAATTACACGATATTTACACCTCATTTTTTAAGGACAAGTAAAAGATTAAAATATCAATAACTCCATCCATAAATCTCAGAGCTGCTCGATTAATACTGAGTGAATTTAAGAATGTAAAGATGGCACCTGGACCGGTTTCCAGGAACTTTTGTGAACTCTGTGGATGTGAGGATTTTCAAAAGATAAAAAGGAGTCCCTCAGCGACACAGTTTTCGAACACTCACACAGTTGTTTCAGGAAGATATCCACAGGTTTGTGGGAGAGAGCTCTGCGAGGGTTTCCAGTCGTTTTGTCCCACTGTGATTCATGTGAGCAGCTTTATCCTCAGCTGCAGGGTTTGTCTTACAGAGTGAGGGTTGACAATATGTTGTCCTGACTCGAGGATCGCTTGTAGCCTGAGGATGAGCTGAAATATGTCTCCCCATCGGTGCTGATGTCGTCGTCATCATCGTCGTCATTGTGCAGATTGTTGAGCAGAGGCGCCGAGTTGCTCTTTCGCCTGCATGAGAAGAGTGATGTAACTCTGAGGATGTCTGTGCATCATCTCTAAACCTTTTCTCATTTGAATCATTGATTTGTTTGTTATAGATGATAAAGTGAGGAACCGGACATCGTTGTGTACCTGATCTCGCTGCGCAGAGCTTTGAGCTGACTCTGGAGCTGATCATTGGCCTCCACTTGCTCGTCCAGGTCTCTCTGCAGTTTCTTCTTGCCGTGTTCCAGTCTGTCGATCTCCTCCTCAGCCTCATCCATCTGCCGCTTCAATGCCTTCAGACGCAGATTCAACTTAAAAAAGACAGAAAAATATGCAACAAGTCAGAGAGATTTAAACATCAACCCACAAATGTAGTGAGTATATATGCCTGAGGGATGCAAAATCATTTACTTAACACAAAGTTTGTAATCAATGACTGATGGTTTGTCACATACTTGGTCCTTTTGGTCTTGCATTGAGTTTTGCTCTTCCTCAGTTTGCATCATCATCTCTTTCACCTTCCTCTCCAGCCTGCGGTTCACTAGCTGCAGGTTGGCACGCTCCCTAAAACACAAGCAGCATCATGCAACCTCATACATATGGTATACTTGACTGTATATTTTCACTTTAAGAATAAAATGCTGAAAATAAACTTAAAGGACTCTTCTGAGAAGGAATTAAAGTCACCAAGCTTTAATTTAAACAACATCAACATTGTTTCTGCAACATCATTTCAAATATTGTGCCGAATCCCATCAGTGTAAAAGTTTAAATTCTAACTTGCTCCCTACAGCTTCATCCCTCCATCACTTGAAACACAGAACTTCTCTTCCTTTTCTCAGTAGGAGTCTTTATCTCACCTCTCCTCCCCCTCCAGCCTCTCTTCCAGCTCCTGGATGCGATCCTCCAGCTGAGCTACGAGGCCGTCCTTGTTGGGCTTGTGGGAACCCTCGAGATGAGACACTCTGCTCTTCAGGTCTTTGTTCTGTTGTGTCACAAATAGAGGGAAATTGAGGCAACTGGGTGTAAAAAATGTGCAACAATAAGACATCAGCAACCAAAACGAGAAAGTGGAATTGGGATGGACACGATCAAATGAAAAGATGAAAAGACATATGAATGAATTGAGTTGTTGCTTTGCTCTGAGCTTGTAGAGCGACACAGTGTGTAGTTGTTTTCCTGCAGACAGGTGAGTGTGTACCTGTCTCTCCAGAGCCATCTTGTCACACTCCAGGTCCTGTCTGCTAGCCCTCTCCTGCAGGAGTTCATTCCTCATCTGCTCCACCTGTCAAACCGAGTCCAGACACTGTCATTGCTACACAGTCTGATGACAATTATTATCAGACACTGTCTGAGTCTCACACATGGCAAAAAAACCGCCGCAGAGTCGGTGAGTCAAAAAGCTGAACAATAGAGGAGTTAATGCTGAGAGGGCCACGGTTAATTGGTGAACTGGATTACCGAGTCTGGCTGCATTCCTCTTCTGACTTTTGACTCACTGTGACATTAGGTAGGAGGAATCAAAGTACAAATACTGAGGATGACAGCGAATTACACAAATATTACTTTGAAACTTGAAAACACTTGTATTATTTGTGACTGTATGATGTTGACTGAATGATGGCATATTGTTTTATTTTTTCTGCTCCTCTGATGTTTGATTTAGGAAATATCTCTCGTTTATTATAAATAAATACAGTAATCCCTGCAGATGTTTAGTCTATTTTAGGTTCTGATCACCAGCTTTTAGCTTTATATTCAAAGTATAGACATGACATATTGATGGACCTTCTAAGTAGCTCTGCAGTAAAACGACAGTCAACATCTCAAACTCTTCCTCTCATATTAATATTTTGTAAGAGTCCAGCCTCTCAGTCAGTGAACACGACTTTAGCACAGCAAAGCCCCATTGCACCAACATGAGTGTTGAGGGAGAGCCAAGTTCAAAGAGGAGGATGAAAACTGATCGATACAGCGGTGATGGTTCTTTCTTTGTGAAAGGAGCTCAGAATTGGTGATATTTTATGCCAATTAGTGTGTGACAGTGGGCTGCTCTGATGAACGATGGCCTCTATAACTGGTGCACCCGGCGCAGTGCTTGAGGGAGCTGAATCAGCAGACTGGAACATACAGCGAAACTAATCTGCTTTGTGAGAGACAGCGGGAGAGAGGAGGAGAGATTACTCTCATTTAGACAGGAGAGGAGCACCTGGTGCCAGGAGAGACGCAGGTGTTCTTCCTGCTGCCTCTGCTGCAACCCCACCACCCCTCCACCTCATAGCCATACACCCCAACCCTCCCTCCCCCTCCTCCTCCCAACAGACATTAGAGCACACACACACACACACACACACACAGCACGAACATTCAACCTACTCCACTCTGACTGCACAAAGCTCGGGTGTTGCCTTGGTGACCGACCTCAGCCTCATGCTGAACCAATGCCACTTTGTCACAATGCCACTCTTTTCTCGCTGCCAGGAATTTTTTAAAAGGGAAACCATTTAAGGAGATTTAAATACTCGACTCAACCACACTAAGCCTCTCTTGATGTCGCTACGCACATTTATTTCAAATTTCAGTCACAACCTTTGAATCTGTGTCAGTTTAGACTAAGAGGAACCTGTAACCAGGCCAAGTCTGACAGATCTCATCCTTTCATATTCAATTTAGAGGAGTTGTAAGGCAGGAACATACGTATAAAATCTGAAGGGTTTGCAATGCAGCAGTGTTATTTCAGAAACACCAGAATCAACATCCTCTCTCTGATTAGTAAGCACTCTTCCACGAACCAACAACAATTCTTAAAGTAGTCGTACTTTATCTAAATCTTTCTCCACAGTGCCTCTGTCAGCAGCTTTATCAGGGAGGAAGGAAAACTGGAACATTTATTTGCAAGGGTATAAAAACTAACTTCCAGCACAAGCACTGCATCTGTTCTTAAGATGAAGTTACTGAGAGTCATTTCCAAGTGAACTCCACACCCTAAAAACTTGAGACATTTGGCAGCTTGCATATTTTGGCTCAGCCACTGCATTAAGAAGGGTCTTTTGTGGCTGATGCATGAAAATTGGATGGACACTCTTAGACCACGCTGGCCGGTGGCCAAACTGAATGATAATGCAAGATCATCTTGCAAAGCAATAACCCGTCCACTTAATTTTCACCACAGAAACACAGACGGTGACAGGACTGATCCCTTTGGGACTTAATTTAAAGCCAAGATAGTGTTTTTTGAGCTCACATGTTTGTTTCATTCAGAGGTGAGTGATGTTAGAGGTGGAAGACAGAGTAACAGGAGGTCTGGATATCATTTACAGGTTGAGATGGAACAAGAGACTCTTCTGTGTCAACTAAAGTGAACATCATGGACATTGAGTTACTGACACTGATAATGAGAATGTGATGAGTTTATGTATGTATGTATGTGTGTGTGTGTGGCTGTGGATGTGGATGTATCGTGTACCTGCTCTCTCCCTCGGTCTATCCTGTCCATCAGCTGGTCTCCACCCTGACGCTCTTCGTCTAGGTCCAGCTCCAGTTGGGCAAGCCTGTCCTGCATAACCAAGAAGTTACAATCCCAGTTACACCAGCTGTCTACATTTAAACCGTTGATGATGAAGGTGACACCAGGTGTTGAGGTACTCTTGGTGGTTGACTGAAAGGATCTGTCTTTATGTTTTCACCTTGAATTTATCAGTGACTTTGACATTTTTTTATACCTCCATGAGCTTCATCTGTCGAGATTTGTCCTCTTTAGCACAGGCCTTTGTCTCAACCTCCAACTCCAGGTCTTGAACCTTTCTCTCAAGCATCTTCCCCCTGTGCACAGCGTCGTCTCGTTGTTTCTCACAATGCCGCAGGTCCTCCTCCCGAAGTGATAACTAAAAAAACATTTCAACATGTTAAACATCACCTCTTAAAGAAGATATTTAAAGACAATATTTACCTACGTTTGATGGTCTCATAAAAGGTCCCTCAGCTTGTCGTTCCTACAGTGGGCTAGGACTACACCCATCCTCTCTGACCTTGGTTCATCTCCCTCTTCTATTCGGCTACTTGCTTGTTACTGCTGTGGTGATGATCAACTACTTAGTTTCTGTTTATGGAAATTTGGAAATGGGGCCCCTGATGAATAATGATACAGGTACAGCTATTGTTTTCCCCTGTGTGCATTCAGCAGCAGTGCCCCCCACAGCTGGAAAACTGCCCCTGCTGCTTTTATGCAAAGACAATGAAAATCCATCACCTATACTTATTTCTCATCCAGGACAAATATTTGGCAATTAGCGCGGGACTGTTCCATATTTTATCATGTAAATACTTAAGTAAGACCTAATTTAAGTCATGGAGACACAGCTTAGCACACAACGACTTAGTAATGGGTGTAATGGGATAATCACGCATCTCCTCTCAGACCATAAACTGCTATAAGAAAATGAGGGAATAAATAAAAAATGCTTGTATATGAATATTAATGAGGCAGTTTTGGGGGTTGAACCCAGCTATTTTTACGCTTCTTTCTTGGCCAAGAGTCTGTTGAAAAGAAAGAGTTTTGCAGAGAAGATGGTGTGCAGCCCACACTTCTTCTATTAGTCATGTCTTGCCAAGTCTTATGGGTGGAGATGCATTTGAGAGCAGCTGGAAAAGTGGACTAAGTAAAGGCAGAGTCCTGAGCTTCAAGCTTCTTTCAGAGGTGGCGGAGGATGTGGAGGATGTGCATCCTGCCTGCACAGCTTTAACAACAATGATATCACAACACTGACATCCTCCACTTCCTGTGCATCAGCTGGACAGAGATACATCAGCATGGATGGAGACAGGGGGAAAAAGAGATGCTGGCCTTGTCCTTACATGTACAGCACACTTCACATACAAGAACAAGTAGAGCTGAAAAATCGAATCAGAGTCAACTAAAGCAGAATAACCTATCAGCGAAACAAAGGCTGAGAGTAGAAAGTTTAAGAAAATATCAAAAATACTCTATTTTTTCTGCCTAAGAGGAGTTGAAATGGGGGCATGGCATGTCAAAGCTCTGTTAAAAAAGCATCCAGCTGAGATTTCATTATAAACAGACACAGTGTTGTTTACGCAATCTGAGTTTGGGTACACTGTTTGGATCCCGGAGGCCTGAAGACATACTGAATGTATTTCCATACTTCTATAAAGACACACAAACCCATTCTCAAGATCTTTGATCTGCTTTCTTTTCTTTACTGTTTTTTTCTTATATGTGAAACATCACCCACTTAAAATAAAAAGAGATATGTTTCTATTCATTGTAAACATTATAATCGAGTCAAGTAAGCGAACAGCAGCTGACAGATATTTTGCAGGGAACAACTTCGGTGAGGAGTTGGCAGAAATATTCCGTTTGGTTATAAATCACCTCAGAGAAGAGAGGAATGAAGCTTCAAAGGTTACCATTGTCATCTGAAGAGGGTATTCAAACATCATGTTCATCTGCTGAAGTTTGTGCACTCTGTAACTTGGTACTTTATAAAAATGATTTTGTTTGGTCACTGTTCATACACTCTCAACAGCCCTACCTTCTTATATAAATGTTTGATAGATACATAAAACGACATTTGCTGCCATTTGTTTAACATAATGTATTCATGATCTTTTAGTTCTTAATCAAACAAACAACATTCTTCACATTCCAAAGCACTAACAAGTGTTTTGATTTCAATTGTCTGAGTGTTAACTATGTGGCATAATCACTAGTTTCCCCATCATCACTGTGGGTTGCGGTGCCTCTTGATATTTCTATTTTAACCATAAGTCTGAGAGTTCAACAGCACTTCTAGGAAAGAAACGAGGCTTATTCTTACTTGAATACTGTTTTTGTGTTTGCACAGCAGAGCAGAAATACCTAAGTGGTGACACTATGCTCAGAAAGCAGAGGATGATATTGAGGGAGGGGTCAAACTCAGGCAGAACAATGGCTCATCATCTGCTGCTTTGCTTGGGAGGGCTTGGCCAGGCCGCCTAATAAGGAGGCTTTGATTTGAACTCCTCTCTCCCCATGCAAGTATTCTCAGCGCTCAGATCAGTAACCGTTAGATCAGTCTGACGTGACTGACTGTACCTCTTCTTGAAGGGTTTTGGTGACCAGCAGGTACTTCTCAAGCTCTTGTCCTCGCTCCTTCAGGAGTTTCTGCAGCTCCATCAGCTCCCTGCGGTTCTTCTCTTTGTAAATATCAATTTGCTCCTGCAGCTCCCGAGTGGACAACTGGGATGCATCTACAATATCATTCATCTGCAGGCACAGTGAGATGGACGGGCAGAAGAAAGAGAGAAACGTGAGAAACACACATGCTGCGTATCACATAGTGATCCTTACAGTACCCCCAAGAAGAAAAAAACAAATACCCTTGCTGTGTTCGATGTTGCAAAAATAAACTTTCTTTTTATGTGAGTGATCATATTTTTATCTTCTAGTTTTCTCTTGCCAAAAAATTGGATTCCTCTACAGAAACAAAAGTAAGAAAACAAATGATTGAGGCAATTTTTTTAAGTCTATTTTAGATTATGGTGATGTTGTTTATAGAAATTCCTCTGCCTCTGAATTTCATTGATCATTCAGCCCTCAGATTCATCACAGGTTATGGTTACTCCACTCATCATTGTGTTATATATGGGAAGGTGGACTGGGCATCTCTAACAGAACGACATGACAGGCATTGGTTCTTGTTTATCTATAAGGCCTTCATTGGTAAATTGCCTGAAGTATCAATATATTCAACATGTTCTTGTGACTGACTAACTGGTGCTCAACATCCCACAGACAAACTCCACATTTGGAAGAATGGCCTTTAGTTATTCTGCTGCATTCACATGAAATACTTTACAACAAACATTTAAACTTCACACTTTGGTGCCTTTGGGTCAATTTAAAACTGTAATTTTGAATTTCTCTGATGTTGCGTATAATTGCTTCTAATTGTGTTCATGCGATCTTGTAATTTGGAATTTTGTATTTAACAGCAAATAACTCAAACTTATTGATAAATGACTGAATGGATGTTACCATCCATCTGTATCTGGCCTATGTAATGTCTGCTCTTAGCTTTGTGTGTGTGTGTGTGTGTGTGTGTGTGTGTGTGTGTGTGTGTGTGTGTGTGTGTGTGTGTGTGTGTGTGTGCGCTACAGACTCAAATACACCCACCTCCCTCTGGAGTTTCTCCACTGTACGGTCCAGCAACCTCCTTTCGTCCTCAATGTCATTCTTCATGTTCTTGAACTGCTCCTTCTGAGCCCTCTCTTCAAGCAGGCTCTCCTCCAGCTGCTTGTGTTCACTGCTCAGTTTAGTAAAGTTTCTCTACAAAAGGACAAAAACTAAAGATATAAAACTTTGCCCGTGATATCGATCCACATTTCTCTCCACATTGTGTGAAGCGGTGTTGCTTTTCTCACCTGTACATCTTCCAATCGGACAGTCAGTGCTCGATTGGCACGTGACATCTCCTCTTCTTGCTCTTTAATTTCAGCCAGAGACTCTTCCAGATGTTTCTTTTCCCTCTGATAAGTGAAAATTTAAGACTTCATCTCTGATAATATGTTTAACAGGCAGTGTAGAAACACGATAGATTTATAAAAAACCTAGCATAACTTTTTGGTCTGATCTTAACCCCTCACCTCAAATCGGCCAACTTTGTCCCCCAGCCTGCTCTCCTGTAGCTTGGCCTCATCGATGATTCGGTTGAGTTTGGCCACCTCATTTTCAAGCTCCTGTGCCCGCCTGGACAGCCGCTCGGCCTCTTGGGTCAGCCGTCCTGCTTGACCCTCCACGGCACCCTTGGCTGCCTCCACTTCAGCCTTTTCACGGACCACTGCTGCGCTGCTCTGCAAAACAGAACGAGACATGAAGTGTTCAGCACAAAGGAGGCAGAAGTCTGTGACACTTAACAGAGAGAGGGACAACGATGCACGATGAGCATTTGAGATTTCTTTTAAGGACCTCGTGCAACAAAAAGCTGTTTCAAGTGCTCAGTTTCTCACTGGAGAAACAGAATAACATTGTCCCCCTTTGGTTCTTTCACACCACATAACACAGCACAAATGCAGGCCATTAAATCTAGGCTTTCAATGACCTATGCCGATTGAGAAACATACTTTAGCCAGCCTCTACTGTCACAAGACTTTGTAAACCTATAAAACTAGAGATGGGTTTTAGATGCATCTTGAAAACACTACCTATTCTTATCAATCAAGTTAGCGATGCTAGAGTTAAGAGGAGCTTTTCTTACGCCCAATTTGTGAGTAAATAGTGAGCTTTGGTTCTGACATTTAAGGGCTAAGTGTTGAGCAGAAGAGAAAGAACCAGAGACAGACAGCTTGAGATGCATGTCTTCAAGAGAGTAAGAAAACTGACAACAACGTGACTCAATAAGTATGACAGATAACAGGTTTCAGTTTTGAGGACACCCTTCCAGCAAAATTACAGTGTAAGCAGACAACAGACTTGCTTAAGTTTGTTTGGAAAGCTGATTTTTTTAAGCAGAGGTGGAATGTTAGGAAACCGGTTTGACAATTTCACGTTTCTCTCAGTTATGACAGCACTTGTGCACCTGTGGACAGAAATATAGATGACAACTAGTGAAGTTTTTACAGATTCACAGTTAAACAGGAGCAGGTATAAATCTATTGATTTGAATGCTCGAGGTGTAAATAAGGTCGAAAAAGTTGGTGAAAACCTAAAGAAATTTGCCACAAAGAAATGGACCGATGCAAACAGCTGAACTTCAAACTGGTTTAGAAAACTTATTAAATTATATCGCATTAGGAGGAGAAGAGAAGAATCAAGATAGTTATGACCTATTGAGTGCTGCAGGTTTGAGTCTTTACTATCTGAAAAGGGTAACTTATTTACAAATTCCTTACATAGTTAACTGGAATCTCTCATCTCACACTTGCCCCGAGTAATTTCCTGTGTGACAAATGTGAAAGGCACTCATTGGTCGGTTCATCTTGTCATCAGCATGCATGAATAAAGGCACATCCTGTACTAGAAAGGTGGCCGGTGCCTCCCTGCCTCGGCGCTGACAGGCCAGTCAGACCTGTTTCTCCTGTCACCACAGAGCCGCCCTCATCTCTGCTTCACCGAGTAGCTTTGCTTGGTTGAAGGAGCAAGAAACTCCTAACAGAATCAATACCACCAAATCTGCAGTGACAACAGTTTTAAGGTCGTAGGATTAGCAAAATAAATAGGTATGAAAGAGAGCATGTAGGCAAATATAATAAGTCTTAACAAAGATTTAATTAGAACTACAAACATTGTAGATGTGATATAATAGTCATGCAAAGTTATATCATTGCACATATTCTAAATATATTCTTACATATTCTTTAAATTACTTTAAAATCCCACATAATAACGCTAGTTGGCAAATCTCTTGAATAGGCCTCAGCTACCACTAGTTGGCCTTCAATCTGAAATGACCCCAGTGTCTTTCATATAAAACGTCCAGTACCTTATGTGGCTATATCGGTAATAATGCTGTTGTGTTTAGGCTGGAAGCTCATGAATGAAAAAAAAGGGGTTAAGCAGCATGTGGGGCAAAACACAGCTTTCACTACAATAATAAACCATTGATCAAATGTGTCAGAGTTGTGCTAATTTTCAACAACATTAACAGGGAGTCCTGCCCTCACATTTCTCTGCCTGTCCCACTTCCCACACTGGGTCCACAGGAGTTAAAAACATGGACAGAGGCACCCAGCCAGTAGAGAGGGGGGACCCGGCTGGTGTCTGTGAGAGGAGGGGGGGACAATAAGGAGTGACCACGTGAATGTCTGTGAAGTGAAGTGTTTAAATTGCTCATGGATGGATTAACTTTTATTAAAATTGTAAGAACAACACCGACAGTAACACACTTTGCATAAAGAGTATTTGTATAACCTTTAAGGAGAGTCGTTTCTTATTTACTTGTTATTGAATTTCTCACGTACTTTATTTCTGTCCTTATACAGGACCTCAAATAGTTAATAATTGATTGAATGCATTACTAAAGATTACCTACCAACCCCTGAAGGATTAGCTCAGACAAAATTATCCCTGTACCAGCTCTTAGACAATAATTTTCTTCTTTGTCTGTATCATCTGCTTCAATACAAATCAACACAAGCAGACTTCAGTGAGTTGCTTTAAATATCACAGTGAAATATGTGGCAGTATCATAGATCTAGTATTTTTCCCCCTCAGCCCTAACTCAAAGTTTGACTTAGGTCTTTGCATGTACTCGAACTGTTTATCCACAGTTGCACATTAACTCAGTGCAGTCTTTGAAGCCTGGTACGAATGCTCAAAGTTAAGTATGTGCAGGTCTTGTGCTGTGGTGAAATCTTGGCTCTCTTCGTTATTCCTACTAAATCAGCTTCCAGCACAACATAAGAGCTGATTGTCCAAAAGTAAATATAGCCTGACACACAGAAATCCACCACAAAGCAGAGTGCAGGGATCATATTCCTGAAGCTGTTATTTTCCATAATTCTGAGGTCAGTTTTCAAGGTTGGTTAGATTGAACCTTTCATCAGACACATAATATACAAATTTACAAACACCATAACAGTTAATGAAGCTGTTTATTAACTTTTAAAACACATTTGTGCAACGAGCCACTAGTTTATTAACTGCAACTCAGAGAGTCTTAGAGTGGGGATGTGAAGGAATCAAGAGCAACTGTATTTTGAAAGGTGGTTCTTTCAATAATGATATTTTTCACAAAGCAAGCTGCTAAGACTTGCTGTTTCTCCCCCTCCTCTGTTCCTAGAGCTGCTCTTGATGTTATCTTTTTTTTTTTTTAATGACAAACACGTTGGAGGTAATTTCCAAAATGTTTTTTTTCTATTATGATAAAAGATGAAACTTCACAGTGCAGCTTGATATCACAAAGTTATTGTTATCACACCAGGTCAAATGTATTATCATTATTCCATACAAATGTATTATAAAGTTGCTTACGATAAACCTTCTCTAAATGTTTCACTGGTGCACTCAGTTTCAGGTACTCCAGGATGTACTGAAACCCATGACTTCCTGCTGCAGCAGCTGCAAAAACACACTCGCTGTGATTTCAAGTCCAAAAAGGAACCAAAAACAGCAGCACTGACACACCGTTTAGTTGACACCAAACAAAGCTTCCAAAGGGGCGACATTTTCTCTTACATATCCTCTAACACTTTTCTATATCTGGAGAATTCCCTCTCTGTTTCCGTTGTCAGTCTCCGCTGCTCTCACATTTCCAGCCCCTCTTTCCTGTGCTGTCAAATCTCATGCTCAGACTCCATTTATCACGGATATCTGCTCATTTATATTTCCTTCCTATGAACCACAGCATGAGTCTCTCTTTGACACCAGTTGTTGTTAAAGAGCAACCTCCATGTCAAAGTCACTTCTGTAATCCCCTGCTGATAGGACGACTGATTCTACAGGACAATGTATTACCCACCTGCTGTCTGTGTACCAGGCACGGATAGACTCCAACACCACCACCACTTCTTACGTTCATGGACCTACAGGCTAGGAAAGTATTTGTATTCATGATTTTTTTTAACAAGTAGGCTGCAGTAATCCACAAACTGTTTTTTTTGTCCTATTGCTATTTGACTTCTCATTGAAATACAAACAAATAAGTCCTGCACTCACAACTTCAGACTAAACAAAGCGATTAGAGTTCACAAAGATGCTAAAATATGCATGGTAGGCCATAATAAGCCTTTTTAATTCTTGTTAAGTCTGTCTACAACACAAAAACACCCCAACCAGCACTGTGAGGTGCTGCAATTGCATTTTTGTTATCTATATGTTAAACTACAAAACTTCTCATTTATCCAAACTTTAAGTAATTTCCTGGTTGGTATCACATTATCTGACCTTAAACCTTTAACGCAAGGAAAAATCCACAAAAGGATTATGCTGGCAGTTGATGAGCACTGATTTAGTTTGCCAGCAGCTAGTGTGGGTTACAAATACAACAGCTTTCCTCATTAAGCGAAGGAGCTAAGAGCTGACGTTAGCTGGAACAAAAAGCCTGTCATGAACTGAATGGAAGGATTGAAGAAGAAATTAAATCATGACAGCTGAGAAGCGTTGGCATCCCTTTGGTCAAAGAGGGGCCGTAACCAAATCTTGTCTTGTCCTCAAAGAAATGAAACAGAATCTCACTTTTCGAAGTACCTCTGCGGAAAGCCAAAGCACAAGCTTGCATGGATGGTTGCATTTAAGGAGAAATTAAAGACTGGTGGCTGTGCAAACAGTCAAAGAGACAATGATGTTTTTAATACAAAAAAAGCAGAACTATTTAAGATAACCACCTTTCAGAAAGTTCTTTTTCTGTTATTTCTGTAAGTCTTGAGTCAGTCCTGATGTGTCAGTTTGACTCTCTTGGATTTGGCTGTTGATACCACAAACAGTAAATGCTGACAACTCCACCCACAACTTCAATCATCATATAAATAAGCATTAGTGTTTGACTTGAAGAGGTTTTAATGGGACTTCTGAAGGGTGCACTTACATGCAGGTGATACTGCTTTATGTTGCTTGTGTCTTTTTTCCACCTTTTGTCTCCCTTAGCTCTGCCCAGGTAAGGTGACTAATTGACAATCAGCCTCACCTGATCCTGAGTGTCAAAAAGCCAAAGAGCTGCCTGCACTAGGGAGGGGCATTTGAAGAGAACTGCTGCAACTCATTTTAGGGATCCTTGTGTTTTGGTTCTTTGTGATGTAGCTGACTTGTTAATTTGTTCTTTAGTTGATCTTTGGTGATTATTTAATTCTGTGTTTTTTCATAATAAATCTCTTGTTAAACTTCTAATGGGTCAAAAAGCAGCCAGGTCACACCAAAAACTGGGAAGTAGGTAGCAATACTCTCTAGAATAACAGAGCAGTTTATGAATTCATAGTTTGCTGTAATTAATATTTAATGGGTGTGCCAGCAATGACTGCAGAGACACATAGTTCAGGCAGCAAATCTTTGTATCCAAAAGCAATCAAGCATGTTTGTGGGTTTTTTGGAATGAGTTTCAATCAGACTGTAGTATCTGGTCTCATGTTCATCTCTTTGTTCAATGTTTAAAAAACTTCAGGGTTATTTTAACTTTCTTTTTGTAGTTAAATTTGAATCCCATCATTACTCAGTGTAAAATTGGACCATGATAAGTCTAATGTGTAGTGTTTAATCACATCAGCCACAAAATATTCATCAAAATAAAATAAAATAAAAAATAGGTTTGTTGGATTTGAGTCAGACTTTGAGAGTGAGGTGTCAGAGTGCCAAAACTCAATCAAAAGCCCAGAAAAGCTTTTACAGAATAACAAAGACGGGAGAAAACTCCTATTTTTGTTATCAAGGCCAAAGAAGACAAGGTCTGACTGAACCTGGCAGCAAGAGAAAGGAACACCCAAAATACACAAGCCAGACATTTCTAAAGAATTAAGTCTTCACCCTACACTTTCCAGACATATGTCCTAAACCCTTCAGCAACATACAGTTTAATCAAACATGTTGAAACATTATAAATGCTCACAAAAGCCAGATAATGACCATAATGTTTGGCAAAGAATGTCAAAACTCTTAATATGAAAAATGAGAAAGTGGCGTAACTGAACAAGAAAACACCCCAAAGATAAACTCATCTCAAAATGAAGGGTGTATTTTCTGACAAGCTATTTGGCAGATGAGGCTCACAACAAAAAAGTGCTAATGGGCTGTGAGCTGGTGGAGAGAAACACAAAAATCAAGAAAGCTGCTGGTTTCAAATGTGCTCATATACCTCAACTGAATCTTTCAGTTTTCATCCATCCATGATGCTATCATCAAATTTGTTTGAAAATGTAATTTAACGCACTTTAATGGCTCATTCTTTACTGTCAGTGTAAGAAACCAGAAACTTATCCCATCATTTCCCGTCTCAATTCTCACCCTACGTCTCCATCTTCTTCCATTCAGCCGCTGGCTAAATCAGCTCCTACGGCTGTGCTGGAAAATACAGCGCTATCATCAAACAGGCAGACTCATGCAGGAGTCTTTACCTTCAAAACAAGCCTGAGGGGTAACTCTTCTCTGGGCCACTGAAGTTTGATGATCAGACAGTGAGACTTCAGTTCACACACTGGTACAGATTACTCAAGAGACAGATAGAGATACAGAGTGACACAGGCCAGAGGATGAACTGTGTTTGGCTGAGTGGGAGATCACTGCAGAGCCTTGTGTGGAGACTGTGGAGCCAATAAATGAAAAATACAGAATTTAGGATTGAGGTTACAGATGAGAGCTTGATAACAATGTGACTGTGTTACACACTGTGGCTCCAGGCTGTCGGTGAAACATTACAAGAGCTGGAAAAGGTGTGATAAGACTGTCTTTACAGTAAGGAAAGCTGAGGCCCATTTAAGCCTCTACCACTGAGAATCCACAGTGGAGATGGAGATGCAGTTGTAGCACCCTGAAGAGGCAGAAATGAAAAGATCTGAGTCTCTTCAGCGGGGTCAGAGCGGGTGGACTGTAACAGAGTTGGAGCTAGGTGAAGGAGGAGGTCCGTAGGGAAGCGCATTCTCCACTTTGACCCCCACATTCCTGAAAACAAACCTTCCCTTTTCTCACCGCACCTCATCTTTCCACATGCTCTGCATACCAGCACATGCTGACACCAAACATCAAGTCCACTTCCAACCGTGAAGACATCTTTTGTTACAGAACATTAAGATCTCGAAAGTAAGAGGATTCATATCTGCCTCAGAAAGTATGACAAACCTTTTTCCATCTTGATGAAATTCCTCACATTTCGGCTCATTGAAAAACAATGCAGCCTTCAATTTAAGACACAAAACAGGCCCCCCATTTCTTTTCAAGGGGTCAGCCACGCATCCCCTTCTCTACAGCACACTGACCCACTTATTCAGCATGCCCCAACCCCCGCTGCTATTATTGTGTGAAACAAACTCATCATTCATTATCAACTGAGGTCCACAATTACCCCCACCCTCACAGGGCACAGAAAGAAGTGGGGGCACGACACAACTCAGGACCGGCAGCTCATTAGATTAGTGATGGCTTGCCACCACAATTAACTGGTATACAGAGCGATTCGGTGCTCCAGTTTTCTGCATTCTTCCCTGCATGGGCTGCGCTGGTCACTGCAAATGTCAGGGACACAAAAGAGGGGACGCAGTGCTCACGTTGGAGGTGGGGGGAGAGGATGCGCTGTCCACTTTGGCCCTCTTTTCCCCGTCTGACACCCTCACACAAAGTGGATGTGGACATGATATAATCAGCGGTTTTCCCTTTTAATGTTGGACTTTCTCACAGCCAGTTGCTCAGCCTGCTACCCACATGCTGTGAACATTTTGGACTTCAAAAGGCCTTGGGTTTAATTTAGATCTTTCCTTTTTGCTTTGGTGTTTGTGCCAATCACACTGAGTATTTGTATTACAGCAAGAGCCTTAATTAACATCCAAAGTTATCACTGGCATGGTTTCAAGATGCATATTATGGAGCTACGACTACAAATAATTTAATTAACAGTTTTTTTTTTTTTTGATTTATCAGAAAATCTCAGCTGCTTGCCCATTTTTTTAGACACAAACTTTATGGTTAAATGGAGCAACTGCTTAGATGATATTGGATCAATGTATTGGTTATTGAGTGATGGTCTTCTTAGCTAAGGATGTCTCATGAAGTCAAAATTTGTGGAAAGAACCTCAGTTCAAAAACATCAAGAAACAGGCCCAACATGAGAAATCTATAAAGAGAAACCAACAATGGCCTCATCTTTCCAAGTGTTTACAAAGCGCTTTGGGTAAACCCCCAGCAACATGGTCCCTCAGGGGACCAGTACCACTGTTTGACCAAAGGAAGTGTTCTCATAGACTGCTGCAGCAGAGCACTGCTGGATGTAGACCCACGTCAGCCTGCAGGAAGCCTAGAACAAGGACTATTTCCACTATTTAAGACAAACAGGACGCACGTGAGTCACACAGCAACCTGCTGAAAAACAAAGTGTCTTCAGTCCTCAAAATTTACTGCCTTGCAACACTGGTTGTCTCATCTTGACCAGTCTTCCTTTATCTTTGTAAACTCTCTCATGATAGTGCAGAAAAACAGCAGTTTAAAGCTATAGGTAAGCCCAGTTCAGGTTTTGTTAACTCAACAAAAACAGAGTTCATTTAGGATCTTTAATCTAAAGTTGCTTCAAAGCTTCAATAGTGTCTTTGCCAGTAAGGCAACTCCTCAGTTCCATACACTGATAAGTGTCTCTAAATGTTTCATCAAACACCCCTTTTCCTGTAAAAGTCCCTCCCGAGAGGAGAAGACTGAGATAAGACAAACACCTCCACACTTGACTGCTTCTGCAGGCTTTCCATGGAAAATGTTGATGAGCTACTTTTAAATGTTTCACAGTGTTAGTTTCTAAACCCATTACAAGTGTGTCAACTTAAGTTATTTCAGTAAAAAATATAATGAGCGCAGAACTAAACTGGTAAAAAATGAGATTGTGATGCTCTAAATGTGAGTGTCTGTCTGGAAGTCAAGAATATAGAAATCATTGAATCACTGGTTATGACTAACACAGCAGATATTTGCAAAACTATTTAAGCTTCAAATGTTCAAAATCTATTCCTGAAGGGGTTCAATGAACTATGAGAAGAACTTTAAATGCTGAATCATCAAATCTAGCATATCTGACTGATTAAATGTCATCTATGTGTCCACAGTAGTCGCCCTGAGACATCAAAAGTTCCTTTCTGCTGAAGGGGACTAAAGATTTGTATGCTTATTTCAAGTTTATGAGTGCTGATCTTTTAAATGTCTAGTTTTTTAAATCATATGTTGACATCTTCATTTCAACATTTTTCCAAGTGTTGTATAAAGACCCAAAGAAAGGCGGTCTTTTCTCTCCTTTTTTTGCAAACCCTTTTTAGGGAGATAAATTGTTAGTGATTTTAAGCGCTAAGCTGATTCTGGATACAGATCATCCTGCATGTTTTAAAACCCAAGTCTCAGTATTTTGACACTCAGGTGCCACAGATGTGAAACTGGTGAAAAGGTGTAAATTATGTCGATTTAGAGCAGAGTTTTAAATCCTTGATGAAAAACACATGGCACGACTTTAAATGCAAATCACACAAACACAGTCACAGCCCCCCTGGTGTGACGCTTATCTCCCAACTCCTCAGTGACAGAGTGTGAGTATAAAATGGGGGAGTGAGGGAGTGAAGGAAATGAGTAGAAGTAACACACATGAAGAGAAGAGAGAGATGGAAGAGATGCACACAGGAGGCTGATTACCTGCTTCGCCTCCTCTAAAGACGTCTGCAGCCGGCTTATTTCCTTCTCATATTGCTCTTTCATCTTGTCCACCTCCTGATCATGAGCGGCCACTTCCTCCTTCAGCGCCCCTTTCAAAGCTGTGAGCTCCCTCTCTCGCCTTCTCAGCACTTCTTCCTGCTCCTCCTTGGCCAGGAGAACCTCCTGCATCTCCACTTTCAGTTGCATCATGTCCTGTTTTAAAAATATGAATTAACTTGAGTTTCTCTTGATTTCTCACTTCATTCATGTTGTAGAAACTGATCTAAGGTCAGCCAAATAAGAAATGACAAAATGAAAAATAACGTCCTTTTAGTTCCTGGTCTGTATTCCTTTGCTGGTTTGTTAAGAAAGCATGATCTGCAATTTTCTGTCTAATGCATTTCAAGTGCACCCCAGCTACAGCGCTGTCGAATCTGAGTTTAACACAATGTTGTTTGCTGAGGTCTTTGATTGTACGTGTTCCTTCCAGCACTTTGGTCAACGTAGAGGAAGATGAAACTAATCAGTGCACTGTTTTCTGCCCTGTAAATATACTTTACTCATTTTATTTCACTTTTAGTTAACTTTATTTAACATTTTATTTAACTATTTAACCTTCAATGTAGAAAAATGTTAGCTTATTGAAGATTTTTCTGAGGACTAAAATGTATAGTGAATGTATGTTATATTTTTAGGTCATTACAAATATTTGCAGTTTTCAGAGTCTAATCCTGACAATTTCTGCCTCTAAGTTCAAATGTTTTAAAAAGTGCAAAATAGCACTGACTGGCTATTTTACTTTATAGTCTCAATGGTATTCTCCTCTTGAACAATAATCTGTGCATTACCGCCATCATAACATCTTTCTCTCCATCTGAGGTTGACTTCTTGGCTGTGTCGAGCTCATCATGCATCTCTGACAGCTGATCCTGCAGGTCTCTGATTTCTGTCTGGTACTGCTCCCTCTCCATCTTCACCTGGAACAGCCTGACAAACCACACATCATGTCACAACACAGTGAAGACACTCTACATACAGTAGACTTTCACACACAGAGACACATACACCCCCACACACCTGCACCCTCATTCACACATACAAACGGCAGCACCTGCGCTGGGTCTGAATGTGCAGCCTACAGAGCACAGGGGTTAAAATGAAAACCTGAACCTGGCAAACCAATAATGTCTAAACTGTCTCTGCATGACAACACAGAGTGGCAGGGTGATGAGTGATGTGAGGCACCTCAAACAAATGAACTCAGAGATGTAGACTGAGCCAGAATACCTCAACCCTCTGATAGAATAGACCCAGAGATGAAAGACTTCACTCTTTGACTTATTTTCAATAGTTCAACAAACTGACTTCAGAGAAAGAAAAGAGTCGAAGTAGCCAAGTCATATTTGGAAATAGCTTAACAGAAACTAGCTGAGCTGAGAAACAAAACTTAAGAAAGTGAAAGAAAAAGAGAAAAATGTAACATCAATAAGGGCTCAACTCCAAGGAAGTGTGAAGCTATGTGAGTAACAGATCAGATACAGACAGCAAGTGCTTTCAGAGTCAATACTAGTAATAGAATAGTAAATCAGTCACTGAGTACACTTAAATATTCAGAGCTGTCTGTTCAAGTAACCACAGGAGGCACAAGGAACTGGCATAGTAACCACTCCAGTAACTATCAACATATCGAGTTTTAACAACATACACACACACGACCGTGTTTGAGAATGTCAGCAGATGATGGCTAATGACTGTAAGTGTTCATTATCAAAAGACCCAATAAAGGTATTAACACAGACACGCTTCCTCTGATACACTGCTCCTGTGAGCAAGTGTAAAAGAGTTCAATATAACTGCAGTTGACAATTCAAACACTAAAAAACTAAATTACACAAAACAAGGACTACACATCAATCAGTGGCTCAACATTTCCTCAACGTGTCACACTGGACTTACTCCTCAACGGTGGTCTGGAGCTCAGACTCCGTTTTGGCAAGTTTCTCCTTCAAACGCTTACACTCCTCTAAACTTCGCTCCAGCTCCTGCTGCAGATCCTTCAAACCCGCTGCTGTCCTCCTATCAGCCTGATTCTTCTGAAGGGGAAAAAAAACACACAAACATCACTGTTGACTTTTCATAGTAGACTGCAAACAGCCGTTGGTGTGAAGATAAAGATGATCAGGCACACTCATCATTAAATAAAAACACAAAGATGTGGCCTCTGTTGACAAAGTTTTGTATAGTCTGAAAGTAGATCCTAAAACCTGAATATAGAATTAAAATGGAAATACTGTCTATAAGAACACAATGTTATGGATTCTCCATTGCTTTTAACCTCAAACCAAATTTCACCATAATGTTGTCACTGCATTAATTTGAAAATATTGCATTGTCTGAATAAAAGGGACGTCAAAGTCTTTTTAAGGAAAAAAAAAGCCTCTTTTTTCCATCTCACTCTATCCATGAAAATTCACCCATGTGTTGTACTTCACTAATTCTACATCCTCCTGGTGATGTCTCTTTAAATTCACTCTAATCCTTTAAACCTATTTTCAACCAAACCCTTTATTCAAGGATATTCTCAACAAACAAGTCCAGCAATAAACCAACAGTCCACTGCTGATATGCCAACAGAAATGAACCGGTCTCTAGAGCATGGTTATGATCCAACTCCTTACCTCAAGTTGTCTCTTCACTTCGGCCATTTCTCTCTCCAGTTCAGCATTTTGCTCCTGCAGCGCTTTAGTTTGTGCAGAAATGTCCAGCGACTGACAAGGGAACAAGTTTTAGAGTTGGTTATGTCCTGTAGGTTCAAACTAAACATGCACACGAACAAAGAGTTTTTGGTATGTTTAAACTTTCATTTGAGCCACAGCTAAAGAGCAGAACTAAAATTACAAATCGGACTGCAATACCAAATCATGTAGACGGAGCACTTTGACAAAACAGATACAAACAGCAGAGATAATATATATCTCTTGATTGGTTTTTGATATGGTATTCATGAGCAGTAACAATGTCTTACTTTGGTGTCCCCTTGAGCACTCGCTGTGGCCCGAGTCTTCAAGGTCTGTATCTTTTCAAAGACAAGGTTGACCTTTCTCTTCGTCGTTTCATCACTGTCATTACATCTGTTGACACACACACACACACACACATGCACTATGTATGAATGCATAACGGCAAATAAAGGTTGAAAAAAATAACTTGTTTCAGTATTTGGGGGGATCAGGATTTAATTCCAGACTGTTCTGAGAACAGAGTAATTCATCCCTGCTTAGAGAGGGTCAGGAAGGATCATGCTGCTTTGATGTGTCACCTCCTGGCACAAACAGCTTCATTACACCCGTCCACGAAACTATGAAGCACATGAGCGGAAGAATCAAACGTATGGGCAGTGTAATGGGATTGCTGCACAGTCTTATTTCATCTCTTGGTTTCTTAATAGGAAGAAGTGCTGAGAATATAAGAAACACAACAGAATACTTGTGTGTAATAAAGCAGCATCTTTGGTCATATTGAAAGAAAGAAAGAATTATTTTGAGGCTTGGATTGACTGCACTTGGTCACAAAACCAACCACACCCAAATATTCTGCCAATACTGAAGATACTGTAGTTTGAACCCTGCATTTCAAACCTCACATGAGGAAAACCAAGCTAAGTATTGTTCTGCTCAGTTCTATTTTATAATTTCATAGACATCATATTTTCTAGAGTGAAGAAAGGCAGCTTTGTTCCCAGAGTTAACACTGAGCATTTGGGGTTTTTATGCAAGACATCTGAAAGCACCACAGATGGGAGGATTTTCTTAACCCACAGAACCATTTTTTAATCCTTCAGCTCAAGTGAAAACATCAGAATCCACAAAAGTGGAGTTACACCACTTTCACATGACAGCAGTGATATATTATTTCAATAAATTTCACAGCCTAGAGACAAAAGGCCAACCCCTTCCTCCCCCAAACCTCTCCTCTGTTCATACAGATGATTTCCATTAAACCTTTATAACCTCTGATGGTGAATGTTTGTCTTTTGAGCTTTGAGAATGTGGCTCCGTTTCAGCCCCAGCACTTCCATCTGTGTTTCCTTTACTTTGTCCTGTGACTCCTGACCTGTGGCCTGACACACCCAAGCAGTTTCCTGTTCACTCACTGCACTACCACAGGCCTGTAGAAGATTGATAGAAAATCTGCAAACTGTTTCTGTTTCTCACAAAATCGCCAGAGCTTGGTTTAAAATCTGCAGAAAGTGAGTAAACTGGCATTTGTTATTAATACATACGCTTTTGTCAAAACAACCCTTGACTATTAATTTACATCCAAACAAAGAGATGTTTAAGACTGCAATAAAAATCATATCTGGCTTCAGAATCTCAACTTCATTTAACCTTTTAACCCCACATGCCTTTCTCTTTGGCGTCCGATTACACAAGCAAATAAAGAGTCTTCTCCACATTTCACACAGTGTGGAAAAGAAAAAGCAGAGAGAAAAGTGGGATTCTGCAAGAAAACAAACTCCAGACAGCTGGATTACTCACAGCTTGCATGGGAGGGTAAGGAGAGCACATTCTTTCTTTTTATCACCAACAGTCCAACTCTGATAAAAACCATTTATACGCTTCCACAGAGAAGTCTCCTCCTCTGTGATGCATTGTGTTACTGTAAAACTTCTTGGCTTTGGACAGAAAAGTTTTTGGATTTCATGATTCAACTACCCGGCAAGGATGAAGACAATGACTGAAGCTTAAAAGTTCATGTACAAGAGCAGAAAATGGAAGTTAACTCACCCTTCTTTCAAATAACTAAACAATATTTGTTTAGCTGTCTCTTCATTTGTTTGTTGTGAAAGCTCCTGTTGACCTTTGAGGAGATCAGGTGTCGCCTGAGGAAGAGAAAGAGACTTTAAATGAAAATAGAGCGATATTAAAAAAAAGGGGTGGGGGCTGTTTTCACCTGTCACATGCTCTGATTTTAACATGACCAAACAATTCACAATCTTCAAAGTGAAGTAATGCACTCTGAAATTTCAAATTACAACTTAAAAGGTACAGTGGCGTTGAGCTCCGTCTGTTTACCTGAACATCTGCTTCTGCGCTGGCCTTCTTGTCTGCTGTGGAGGACGGCTTTGATAGTGATGTTGACAGCGATGATGACGAAGTTTTTCCAGCTGAGGAGGTGCTGTCCTCACTCTCTTTACTTTTGAATGGGACAGAAGAGGAGCTTGTCTGTGGCTTTTTGTAACCCTGTATGAGGCCCACACCTTTAGAGATGGTGCTCTGTGGGGATCCAGGTGCACTGGTGGCCCGAGATGAAGCCCTGGAGTCACTCCTTCCGTCAACAGCAGAGACCCAGGAGTCCTGACCACCGGCTGATTTCTGCTGCCGGAGCTGTGAAGGCCGCAGGACGTGCTCCATGGATGTTCCCCGACGGGGAGTAAACTCGTCTAAGAAGCTCTGGTCCTCTCGTTGGCTGAAGGCGCTGTCCACACTGCGAGAGCGCTTCCTGTCCTCAGGGTTGATTCTGTTCCTGCGCCCTGCTCTGCCTCTGCGATGCTGGCTTCCATCTTTAGCATCAAACTTGTCTATAAGCTCGTCCACACCAGGAATGGACCCTGTATCAATGTCTCTCCCTGAACCAGCATGGAAAGGGATGTATCTGCGGTTCTCGTGGCGGTTAATAGTGTCAGCATAGAGGGCCTCCATCTGTTCATCTAACAAAGTCTTGGAGGTAGAGGATGAGGAGGAGTGGCGGGAGCGAGAAGAGGGCTGAAGAATTGGCCCGCTGGAGTCTGTCCTGCGTAGTGGAAGGACGTCAGGCTCATGGTGGGTACGCTCCAGACTGGAGTTGGCGCTGCTCATGGAGCTGGGGGCTCTGCCTGATGACTTGCTCTGTTCAGTTGAGGGAGTGGACGCAGAGGAGGGCAAAGACTGGGATGGAGGCTCCATTTTGGTGCCTGGTTTGGACTGAGGTGGACTTGGGTTGGTAAGATAAGGTTTGGACTGGGGTTGAGCTCCTTGGGATTTTGGCCTGCTCTGAGGCTGAGCACGCTGGACTGAAGGCAGAGACTGTGACTTCGGCATGGAGGGGGCTGCATCACTCACTCTCTGAGAGGGAAGTCTCCTTTTATCTTGCTGCACAGAAGTTTTGTCCCGGTCCAAGCTGGATGACTTTGGCTGGGATGGTGCTGGGACAGATTTGAATGAAGAACTCGGTTGTTGGTTGTCAGTCTCTGCCAGGGGTGGAGACCTTGAAGGCAGGCTGCGGAAACCATCGAGGTTCATGGAGTTGGTGTCTGGATCATAAGGCTGGAGAATCTCAGGATGCTTCTGAAAGTTCAGAAGGGTGGACTGTCTCTTACCCTGTGAATCTGTGACCCCATTTTGAGGACCAGTGTAATTCATCATCTTCTGCGACCTGTACTCCATAAACGGGCTGTTGGATCCAGCCTCTTTCCCTCCACGGAAGTCATACTCTTGGTAGTTCTCAATAAAAGATCCCTCTGAGTCCATGTAGCCATTACTGTTAGGGTCCACATAGGAGTGATGGCCCCTGTCTTGATTGTTGAGGACTACATATGGGTGCCCATCTATACCCTGAACACGGATGCTGAGACCGTATGTTCCAGCTCCATTACTGTGGGGCCTAGAGGGGCGAGCCGGCTGAGGGTGGCCCCGCTGTGGTCCACTGTGAGGAATGCCAGTCACTCTGTACGACTCCATCAGGAATGCAGAAGGAAAATAAATCCCTCTCCCTGGATCAGGTGGGCCACCTCTGCAAGCGAACATTGAGACAGACTGCATTACTCAGAGAAGAGACTCTATATACTTAAGTAATATCAACAAATGTTTCCCAGGTACACACTCAGCCTCTAATGAAACATTAAAGCCTCGCCACATAGTATTATGTCGCTCACTCTCATTTTCTCGTCTTTTTTTGCATTCTTAATGTTATGTTTTCTCTCCGCAGAGATGGTATCTGTCTAACTGCTCAGCTAATGAGCGCTGACTAAATGAGGAATGAGCCAATAAGTTTCCTGTGTTTGCTATGATATCTCAGCACCCACAGCGCCTCTGAAAATATGCATCAACATCAGCCACATTCTAACAGCTGAAATAACCACACAGTGTTTAGGAAGGTCTCTCAGGTGTGTGACTAACAGGTAAGGTATAGCTTAATGACAGTTTGCTGTGCATAACAAAGAATATGGGTTAAACAGGTTAAGAGGAAGGGATTGAAAGATAATACGCCAACGTGAGCCAGTCAAACCTGGGAACAATGTCCGACCTCTGTCATCTCTGCGGAGCCTTGGGGGGGTTAGGTTTTAAAGAGGATGTAAGCTTGTGTGTGTGTGTGCACATACTCAAGATAGTTGTCTTTGTAAATGCCAGTGTCATTTAAAAAAAAAAAGGAAGTAAACTAAAATTTGTATCATTAACAGGGTTGTCAAAAGTTGACAGATTTGCATCATTATCAAGAAAACACAGCCAGCACTCAATATCAAGATATTAAAGTGAACCTTTAAATGTTCTAAAATGTTAATGTTTATTTCCTTGTAGGCAGATGGAGACAAAGCCATCAGCGGCTAACATGTGTTTCTCTGGACAATGGGCTTTTAGCAGGTTCCTGTTTGCCTTGCTGATAACATCCCATTCTGCCTGATTTTACAATACAAAGAAAGAGTGAGATAGGTCTAGAAGAAAGCCGCTGATAAGACTGACAACAAAAGCAATGCAGGATACAGCACACTAGCATTAAATAAGCCGGGGGACAGCTAGAGAAAAAACTTGATTTAAGTGAAAAAATAAAGCACCGTGTGAAGTTGGGGAAGAGAGAGTGAGTGTCCTCACTAGAAATGTGTTGGTTAAGTTTCGCAGACTTGGCCACACTGCTTGTTTCAGGTCATCTTCACTGATAAACTTAAAGAAAATGTAAATGAGGGAATGGCTTTGTCGGAAAAATATAGAATGTTTTATCTGTTAATTTCTGAATGGTGTTTTGACTTTTTATGCTCTAGGTTGGAAGAATGAGGCACTTCTGTCTGTGTGTTTTTTCTTATTTTTAATTAAACTCAGAAGGATTTTACATTATGAGTAAAATGCTTTGGCATAAAGAAATGGTTTTTGTTTTTTTTCCACACAAAGAAAAAAAGGTCAGTAAAGATGCTTAGACAACCTGTCTCTTGTGCTTGGTGTTCTCTGCATAAAGAAAACCATTTTCAATTTTTCTGGCTTATGTTTTTCTGATTACATTGTTGAATTGGATTAGATGCTATTTGCAGATCCCAAGATTGTTAAAACATCTCTTTCCTAGAACACAGCAAACATTTATTTCATAAATTCAAGACAATAACTGTCATGTATTGGATAATATATAATAATTTGCCCCAGTTTGTGACATTAAATATGGTTTTAAACCAGTGAGATCAGCCAAACACCATTTATAGACAGTGCAGGAAGGAAAACGATCATGTGTCCTGTCCAGCAACACAATGGTCTCTTTTATCCTTCGTTTCCTATCAATGCAAAACATTACAACAGGAGTGCAACTTTTTTCACTTCAAAAAGGAGGAAACCCATACTGAGATGCCCCACTGCCCCTCCAAGAGGCCGCGCTGCCTTCACTGACCCCTGTGTTGCAGAGCAGAGAGGTCAGCGTGGAGCACAGGTTGGATGTCAAGGCCCTAGCTTTGATCTGAGTGGAGGACAGACTCCAAAGATTTAACAAAGCAGATTTTTATCTCCTCATGAGAACTCTTTAGTTTTCTGTGTCACAGGGAGTCCTGACACAGCTGCAGTGACTCACATGACTACATGAAGAAATTAATCAGTTTGGAGCAGCACTGAATGAGTGGATGCAAAAATCCCAATAAAGCCACACAAAACAAGGAGGATTTACACTGTGGGAAAGTTTGATAAAGTTACGTAACATGAATGGGAGTTAACTAATCCGGAGCAGTCAGGTAAATGCAACGTGAGTGAGCGACAGCTACTGTAAACACAATTAAATCATGGCACTACATTAAAATGTCAATAAAAGACGATAAATGGGGCTAATGATTGAAAACTGAAAGGAAGTTAGCAAAAAGATAGAGCTGGTTGAGTTGACGCACTCTCCAAACATTTTTCATCGCTACTCAGTGCAACAGGTGGCATTAAACACAACACAAACCTGAGATTTACTGGGAAACTTCTGCCAGAGTTTTCCTCTATTCCTCCTCTCCTTACAACACAGTCCTTTATGGCTTGGTTAAGGCTAATTAAAGTAAAGTGAAACGGTTGTTAATGTAGTTTAATGACTAGTCTGTTGTCTTGGTTAGTTTAACGGCTGTTAGCGCTCCAACGGCAGCCGTCAATGAACTCGGTTAGATGGTTAAAGTTACTCACCGGCGTCGTTCCTCTCTCTCTCTCTCTCTCTTTCTGCGGTTGACTTATCTCAGATTTTAATGTTTGTTTAATGGAGTTTGTTGAAAAGATAAACCACCACACAGCAAAGTGACCACTCCACTGCTTGCGAACTTATCAAGTCTTGTGTTGTTTTCTGAAGGAGAGAGCCTGTCGGCCAGTTTGAGAAGGGCGTCCGACCCTCCAGGCCGCTCCGCCTCCTGAATCAAGCGCACAATCCCGCCCACCCACTCAAAACCACCCCACTAAAACCACCCCACTGGCCTGGGAACAGTTTTCTCAACACGAAACCACCCTGAACCGAGACCTGGGCTGATCCTGCACTGGTTCTGTTTGGACCTGCCTTGACTCGGCTCGGTTAGGTTAAACCCGGAGAGATCTTCATACTCAGGATAGTTTTGAAACTTCACCAAATTCATTTATTTGTACACATGTAGATAAAACAATAAATACAAAATATTAATTATAATAAGTTGCGTTTTAAATAGTAAAGTATTTTGGTGAAAACATAAAGTTATTACAGCTTTAACTTGTGTTTAGAAAGGTGTAAACCTTCATCTGACAAAGTGAAAAAAGTCTCTCAGAAATATGGGCTGTGAGTCATGAATTTTGATTTTTGTGTCACTCCTCTGCTATGAGGGGGACTTTAATGGGTGGACCCTGTAATCCTGCTGAGGCTGAAGCAATACTTCCCATATAAACCAACAACACCCACTGAAAAAGTCACTAACATGAGGAGCAACTAACTCTTTACTTTAACTACATATAAAGCCCAGACAGACAAACTTAAGTTATATGAAGCTTAAGCTCGCTGAGTGCATTATTAATTACACAAAACATGAATGCAATTTGCTGCAGCACGTCTTCAAAAACCGAGAGCGTCATCTAGTGGATAGTCAGCTGACCTGAATACGGACACATAATGAGAGGAGCCCTGATTCCTGCTGAGGCTCTCACCCACTGTCAGTGAAGGCAACACGACCCAGCAGCCTTTAAAACCAGTTATCCTGCTGAGAGAGGTTCAGCATTTTAAGGTAAAACCCTGACATTAAGAAAGGTACAATGCTGTGTGTGTGTGTGTGTGTGTGTGTGTGTGTGTGTGTGTGTGTGTGTGTGTGTGTGTGTGTGTGTGTGTGTGTGTTATTTTAGAAATAAAGTTTCTGTAGTGCACATGTAGGCTACTTAAAGAGGAAGTGCAGAACTAAGCAAACAGTCTAAGCAGTGATAAATAATGATGTCCAGGATGGCTTAAAGTAGGTAGTAGCAGAAGTCTCGGCCAGGCCTAGGCCTATATAAAGCAGACACACATACTGATAGAACAACTGCAAAACTGAATGATAATACTTACTGTACTGATGGGAAAACACTTGGGTCTTAATCTTCTTACAAATTACATTTTTTTACTTACATTTCTTGAAGCAGGTGTATGAAAAATTATTACAACTTGACATGATTAAACTGTCACAGTTAAAAGCTGTGAGTAAACAGATCTTTTTCATAGCTTGATACCCTAAAATGTGTTTTATTACGCCTAGGTTTATTATTGTTGTTGTTCTCATTGGGGGTGTACTAAGTGTGTTTAGAAATATATATGTTAGTGGCTCTTTAATGCCTGACACCACAAATTATGGCCGGAAAAATTCAAAATTTTTTGGAGCTGAAATGTTTTTTTCACTTACTACTGACAACCAAAAATATCAAAATGTCCTTAAAATTTGACAAATATATTTATTTATCTCGTTTGATACATTAGATGTTTTTGGAAACTGATAAACTACAAGAGGACATTTTTATCTTTTATCGGACTATATTCAGGTGGTTTTTTTTTTAGTAATTTGTTGATCATATTGATTTGATAGGAGTATATCAAAGTATCAAATATGGTACAGAAGGCATTAAAGGGTTACATTTTTTCCTTTTGAATATAAAATCATCTAAACAAAATATTACAAACTCTGGACCATAACAAGTTTGTTTTAGAAACATCTAAACTTTACTGAATATTAAATTTAAATGTAATGTAAAAGGTTGTCTGAGTAATACGTTTTGGATAGACTTCAATGAAGCCATAGAAAGTCACAGATATAGGGTTTTGTTATAGATTGCTAAACATGGTAGATATTGCTGTCAATACTAAATATTTCAAGACAATATTAAAACTGTAGTAAATGGTGTTGTGGATTTGATAGACTGATAATGGGTGAGGGAAAAGTTGTGTTGTCATTTGTGAAAGTTAATTGTGATATCGGCCTTGTGTGCGCAGATGCTGGTGTGATGCAGATCGAATCAAAATGCCATAAATCATCCCGTTCAATCAG